GTAATTTAGTTTAATTGCTTAGAAGTTGCAAGGGGAGTTTCGCTTGAAGTCTTGCTTTCTCTCTGTATAGAGAAGATTTGCCTTGGTCAAGAAGTGATGCGTGTGTTTTAGCCTCCTCTGTAGACGGCTTTGATGGTTTCACCATGTTGATTTTGCTTACACTTTTTTTTTTTCCTGTGAGAGGAGGCCCTTCTGAAACCATCTATGATTTTTTTTCTCCTTCATTGATCAATCGCTGTTAATGAGAAATTCCATTTGAAGCAAAACAGTGTCATAAAAATGATTGAATCTCAGTGTGAGGTAGACTTTTCCAATTGGTTTACAAGAGTCCTCTGAAGTCCACACTGCCAGCTCAAACTTTTATTAAAATTGTGTGTGCAAACGATTTGCTCTTGGCTAAGCAGTTTTTAAAAAATATGGCTTTGCTCAGATATGACAAAATAACAATTTATAAACTATCAAGGGCTCATAAGGGAGGGGGGAACGGGGAGGGAGGGGAAAATTGAGGACCTGATGCCGGGGGTTTAAGTGGAGAGAGAGTGTTTTGAGAATGAAGAGGGCAATGAATGTACAAATGCGCTTTACACAATTGATGCGTGTATGGATTGTGATAATAGTTGTATGAGCCCCTAATAAAATGATTTAAAAAAATATGGCTTTGCTCTAAAATAATACGTATAATGTTATGAGAAATATCAAGAAAAGCAATTTTGCTTAACTGTATAAAGGTATACACAGACATTTTAGAAGCGCTAAATGGGAGCCATTCCATTCTTAATGGGCAATACCCCAGTGTTCTGCCTGGAACAACTTGAGCAGGTCAGTTACCCTACTGGAAGCATTGCTCTCTAAGGAGGTTCATGCTAATCACAGACACTGCCTTGATTGTCGCACGGTCCTACTTTGCATGGTTTATTGTCAGATAATAGTTTATATTCAGATTTTAGGCAAGAAGCCCTTCTAGGAATGGCCCTGTAAAGCTCTGTTAAGTCATACTTTCCTTGCCCCTAACCTTATACAATTGAACTTTGTAAGATAAATGTAAACTTATTGTTTTTACTCCTATTATATTTCTGGCTTGGGCCTAGTACTTAGGAGTAAAAAGACAAAGCCTTTCTAAATATTATCTATCAGAACTATTTAAAAAAGTAAACCGCAAGCAGCTGAGATATTCATTTGTTTATTAATTCATTTATTCATTACATGGTAAAGAGGAAAGCAACCGGATTCATGTTGTACAGATAATTTAATAGTATCAATAATGTATGTATTTTTTCTGATTTATTTTGCCTTTTCAGATTATAACCATAGCAATAGCCATCATTGTTGCTAACGTTTGTGTCCAGTTATTGCTGCCAGGTTATTGCCTTTTAAACTAAATATAGTCCATGTAATAACACTGGCAAGTGTTATTTAAAAATGAAATGTGCTTGATACAACTGATATATGGATTGTTATAGCAGCTGTAAGAACCTCCAATCAAATGATTTATACAAAAAGAAAGAAGGAAATGACACCCCCCTATTGATGAGGGCATAGCAACACTGCTAGTGGGAGTGGAAATTAGCACAGCCTATCTGAAGGGCAATTTAGCAATATACTCCTCTCTCTGCAAAAAGAAAACAGAAATGGGAACTTACAGGCAAGAGGTAACCTGCACAGTGTTTTGTTTTATTTCAGTTAACTCTTTAAGGTAATTAAATTCTCATTCAGATAGAAGAGAGGCCCCATTGTACTGTACCCATTTTCCCCAATGGTACTGCTGTCTTGTGCGGATTTAGCATCTTCTCAAGCAGGATGTTGTCAGCGCTGTCATCAGGAGACAGGGCATTTCCATCACCTCAAGGAGACTTCGTAGCCACACCCCTTTCTCGAACCTCACCTGGAAAGCCTCCCTGGCAACCACTCATCCATTTTCCATGTCTGTCATCTTGTCATTTCAAGAACTTTCTCTAAATGGACACATACCTGATGCAGCCTGGTGGGAATAGAAGTTGTTGATCAGCATCATTCTTTGGAGAGCTGTCCAAATTGTGACATGTATCAGCACTTCATTCCTGTTTACACACAATAGTATTCCATGGTGTGGGTGCCACCCACCTGCTTTAACCCTTTAGTTATTGAAACCGTATAGCTTCTTTTCACATAAAGGCGCAGTAAACATTCATGTCTCCAGATTTTTGTGTGAACATAAGTCATTTCTCTTGGTCGGGTGATGGTTGTTTATGTAGTTTATAAAGAACCCGAAAAATTGCTTTTGAGACTGGCCCTCCCATTGTATACTCTTTCCCACCAGCAATGCTAGAGTTGGCCCAGTTTCTTGACATACTTGCCAGCATCTAGTGATGCCACTGGTGGGGTTACGAAGCTGTGAACCTTGGAGGTAAGGGTTATTGCTTCCTACTTGGCGACATCACAGCGGTGAAATACTGAGGTGCCTCGTTACAGCTTAATGAAGGTAAAGGGTAGGCTCCCTAGTAAGCCTTTATAAGCAGGGTTAAGCATAGAGCCACATTTTTCTGCACTGTTCCTTGGAGTCTGGGTCTTATTAGCTAAAAATGCTCTGCCTTGTGAGGTTGTGCTTTTCCTGGTCCCTGGACTAAAGAGAGAGGAGGCCTGGTGGCATGATGGTTATGCACTTATAATTGGGCTCCTAACTGCAAGCTCAGCAGTTCAAAACCAGCAGCCGCTCAGTGGTAGAAAGACGAGGCTTTATAGTTCTGTAAAGAGTTACAGCCTCAGACACTTACCGGAGCAGTTCCACCCTGTCCTATAGGGTTGCTATGAGTCGGCATCGACTCGATGGCGGTGTGTTTATTGTCGGTGTTTTTTGTATTAAAGACAGCAGGCTTCTGTGGGGGGGGGGGGTTGTTGTGATTATTTGGTTTTCTTGTAACCATTGGTGTTTCTTGGTTGCTCTTTTTTCCAGTGTCCATGCTGTCATATCTGAGGCAAAACCAAAACTCTGGGAGCTCACGACCATGTCGTTCCTTTGGGCTCAAGGCCCATCACCATTCTGCCTTCTCCTCTCCACTTTCCAGGGTGTTTGCAAAAATGCTTGTTTGTTATAGAGGGCGCAGTCTTTTTAGCTATACTTCTAACAGAAACAAGGACAGGTCCATCTAACACACTTCCCAGAAGTCTCCCTGAGGCTGTTGCTCGGCTCAGAGTGACCCTGTGGACGGCAGAAGGAAACCTCACCCCGTCCTGCCCGTCCTCGCGATTGCTGCTCTCTGCGCCCATTGCTGCAGCCTCGCTGCCCATCCTTCTCATCGAGGCCCTCCGCTTTGTCCCTGCCACGGCCCCTTCTAGAGCAGGATGCCCTTCTCCGGGTTCTCGTCGCTCCTGACAACATGCCCAAAGGACGTGACGCACTCTCACCCTCCACACTTAGAAGGGACTTTCTGGTGATATGTCTCCCAAGAGAGGTTTCTTTGTTCTTGTGACAGTCCGTGGTATTTTCCATATTCTTCCCCAGCACCATAAGAATTGTCTAATTTTTTATTTCCATCCTTCTCTTCAAGGTGCCCTGGTGGCATTGCAGGTTCCGCATGTTGGGCTTGTAACTGTAAAGTTAGCAGTTCTAAACCCCTGGCCACTCTGAGGGAGAAAAAAACAAGGCGTCTGCCCCCTGAAAGATTTACAGCGTTCAAAATCCAAAGGGGGCAGATCTACTCTGTCGGAGAGGGTTGTTGTGGTTCGAAATCGACTTGATCACAGCGATTTTGCTTGTTTTCACCCTTCTCTTCCCTTCTTCACTAACTCCATCCCTGTGGGACTCCACATTGAGATGTCCAGGGTCTCCTGGAAAACAGAGCTAGCAATCCCGGCTTCAGAGATCCACAATGTTCACTCCCCATGACGTCTCCCAACGGAGAGAACCGTTTAGTTACCACTTGTCATTAGTGCTTGGCCCTGGAAAATGTTAGGTTTAGCTGATCCAAGATCTTGAAAATGTTCCTATCATTCGACTTTGGACTTTAAGTCATCTTCTAGGGTTCTGCACTAAGGAACTAAGTAGAGACGCCAACAGAGATGTATGGATATCCGTTACGGGCGGCTTTTGCCATAGCGTGCCTAAATGAAAATACCCAGCTATGGCAGAGTAGAATCATATAAAAACCATTATTAGAAGACTGTGACTTGAGAATGCTCATAATAAATGGGAGGAAAAAACCCCAAGATAGAATAGATAATACAATAGTATTATCTCAGACCTTAATGAATCGTTCTCAACTTCTGGGGGAACATTCACTGAAGCGTTGACAGCACTGACTCCAGAGGGAAGAATGGTGAGGACTCTTTATGTCCTTCTCGATCTTTTTATATACCTTTTGAGATTTTACCATGCCCTTGAATTGCTGTTGTGATCAGGAAAATACAATCTCTGAAAATAGTTTTGAGTGCTCTTGAAAATAATATTTTCCTACCATTGTGAAGTTGGGTGTTTAAAAAATTACATGCGAGCCATTTGGCACTAGTATGTTCTGTCTTATTTAGAGACCCGTATGCACACCTATATCTGTACATACATGTTCAATATGATAAATACTTGGAGGTATTTCTTTATTTTTGCTAGACAGCTTATGCTTCCATAGCAGAATGACACCTGCTTATCATGTGGGTTGAGATGATGGATGAAAAGATTGAAAGACTAAGTCTGGACTTCAGCCATTGACTTTTATGCCTGACAGAATTGGATAATATTCCTAAGATGAAAATCTTTAACATCACTGGAAAATCAAACAACCGTGCTAGCTGGCCCAGCATCACTAATGTGGTGTTAAGAACTCAACACATGTTAAAACCTTATGTTTAATGGGTCAATGGAGAGTTCTTTATAACTTCAGTCATCGTTACAGATTCTTTCGGTATGCTGTGAATAGACGGGCTCAGATTTTCCACTTGTGGACTAAGGATATTGAAAAGAAACATCGATAGATAGTTCTCTGGCACCAGTTACGGGAACTTGCCGACCCACTTATTTATCTTTTGCTTAGTTTGACCAAGCCGCGGATGCTGAGTTGTCCTGGATTTCTGAAACAAAAAAGAAGTTGATGTCTTTGGGTGACATCAGGCTGGAGCAAGACCAGACCTCTGCTCAGCTGCAGGTTCAAAAGGTGAGGAAATCCATTTCCTTCTCAATGACTTGATAGAATGAGCTAAGTAGAAAATGCCCTTGCCTGATTTGCTTTTCAAGACTCTTGTAAATGTTTTCATTTTAGTCACAAGTCTCTCTTTTGAAAACACTTTTGGTAAATTACAGGCATTCACCATGGAAATTTTGAAACACAAGGATATTATTGATGAACTTGTTAAATCTGGGGATAGAATCACGGCCACATGCAGCGAAGAGGAGAAGCAATCAAAGAAGGTATAATCTCGTCTTGTGTCTGGTGATGAGAGCCCTGAACAAACAGCATGTGCTGAGCTTTTAGCCCTTGTAAAGCACTCCTTTTCTCCCCAGCTGCGATTTAAGTCGCTGAATCAGTCTATTTAGATCAGTCACATGTTTAAGGGATACAGAATAGCTGTGAAAGGAATATTCCTTAAGGGAATTGCCATGAGGACAATCGTGGTGAAGAGGTAAAAGAGCTATTGAGATTTGAGTCATTGGATAACTGGCACAGAATCAGCATTCAATTAGATGTTAGCTGTATTCTTACCATTCATATCAGAAGGAATCGTTGTTATTACTGGTCAGGTGTTCCAGCGCTTCAGGACCATTTGGGCCTCGCAGCCGAGCACACGGAGGTGTGCGTGGTTCTCTGATGTTGCGACCATTCTGTGTAAAGCCATGGTAGCTACACAGGAACACAACGAGCTGACTCGTTAAGGAAGCCGCCTCCAGTTTTGTGTAGTTTCAACAGTTCTTAGAATTGATGGAAAACAAGCCACAAGTCAAAAGGTTTGATGTCAGTTCGCATTCAGACATCTGAGAATTCCGGTGATAGTAATCTGTGTTCGTGTTTTTCATGGAAAACCATTGTGTGGCAAGAGAATTTTGCAAACATCGATTCCTAAGGTCACATTTAAGAAAGTTATATGTTTGGTTTTGAAATCTACATAGGTAGAATTGTAGAACACACACATCATATATTAGTGATTTTCTTATATTTACACTCGATTAGTAAATGGTCATTTACTAATTTCTAATTGAATCTTTACTACATTTGCAAGGAGTCAGATATGAGAAAAACATATTGAATGTCTAGGAGACTGAAATCAGAGTCCCTGAGTTTGAAACCTGGTCCGACCACAGTAGCCATCTCATTGTGGGCAATTTTTGTTATGTCTTTTGACCTCATTTTCTTCCTCTAAAAAAGGAGAATAATATAGTAATAACCCTTACTTCATTGATTGTTGTAAAGTTGAATCTGTTATTGCACATCTAGACATAATCACTCACTGCCCTCGAGTCAGTGCTGACTCATGGTGACCCTATAGGCCCCATATAGGACAGGGCAGAACTTTTCCCTGGGGCTTCCCAGACTGCACTCCTTACAGGACTAGAAGGCCCCAGCTTTCTCCCGTGTAGACATAATAATCATAATTTATTAATGCTTAGTAAAATTCTATTATTATAATTAATGTTCAACAAACTAGTAGTTTATGAATGCCCAGTAGTATTAATATTATTCTCAGTAACTGTTAATTAGCATCATCATCATCAGAAACTTCCCTGTTCTCCTCATATTACTTTTCCTTACTTGCAGGAATAGGAGTATAAAGGGCTCCTCAATAAAATAATGTCCCATATTATTGAACACAAATTGGTTTTTAACACATGAAAATTTGTGTTTTGCTTGTGCCTCACAAACTCTAGAGAAGGTAGCAGGTTTTCTATAGGTTGATCTCTGTATCTTCAGTATTCACACAAGTCAGCACTAGTTTTGTAATGAAAAAACAAAAACAAAAACGAGTGAATATCTTCCAGAGGAACCTAAAAGGCACCGGTAAGTATTGTATTCATTCTTTGGTTTCTTGAGATTCTGTGGTGTATATCTCCTATTAATTTACTTTATGAATGTATACTCTTGTCTTGGTCATTGTGCCACCCTAAGAGATCAGTATATATCATACTGTTCTGCTTTTAAGTCCAGTATATGTGAATAATTTTGTTGACTAGCAGTTCCTCTAAAAAGCGTATTTATAAAAGATAGTCCTTAATTTTGATGTAAATGTGGCCAGAACCTCATGAGATTTTGTTTTCTGGCCCCAAGATTAAAGGCATTGTAAGCAGGGCTAGAAAAAGTTCCCTCTTGTGTCTGGAGAGCTTATTTTTGAGGCCTTTTTGTAATTATAAATGAACTTTTATATGTAGAAATAATTAAAGTCTAGGTCATACTGAATAAATGATTGATTGACTTAATATACAGTTGTATATTAAGTACTGGACAAATCATTTTGGAAAATGTGTACTGTGTGGTCTAACCAATTAAACACATCTCATCATCATATTTTCTAGAAAAAACTAGACAAGGTATTGAGGAACTATGATGCCATCTGTCAGATAAACTCAGAGAGGTACCTACAGCTAGAACGGGCACAGTCTCTGGTTAACCAGTTCTGGGAAACATATGAAGAACTTTGGCCATGGCTGACAGAAACACAAAGAATTATCTCTCAACTTCCCGCGCCAGCTCTTGAGTATGAAACTCTAAGACAACAGCAGGAAGAACATCGGGTGAGTTCAATGCAATAGATCATGTTCTGGTCCCTACGAAAAGAAAATTGTGCTTTTAATGGTGTTTTCTAATGCTGTTGGACCTTACATCATTACATCATCGCCTATGCTTTGTTTACTTTACAGTTGCTTGCTAATTGTTCACTGGGCAGACCGCGTTGTTGTTGTTAATCACATCTCGGTTTCTTTTGTACCTTAAGACTTTAAAAGCAAATAGTTTACTTTGAAGTTTCAGAGAATAAGCTTTTGAAGTGTTTTCAGTTTATAGGTATTGGCTGAGTTTTACACATTACAGTTAGTGGAGAGCCATATAAACTGTTAATGAAGTATAGGAATATATGGAGAGGATTTCATCCAGACTAGACCCTAGTAATCTCATGAAAGTGAGCTCTATGTGAAGGACAAATACTGAAGTATAAAAATAAATTATTTTCCCTTTGCCCTATTCTTTACATAGAACTCATTTTTACTTCCTTTGCTCCTATTAGAGTAGATGCATAAGCTAGTATGGTTTACATCTGCAAATGTCTCATGTTTATAACATGTATAAAGTGGCTTTAAGAAATACTTGTCTCAGTAGCCACTTAGGTGCTAACATGGGTTAAAATTTTGCAAGGGTTGTGGGTAAAAGAGAGTTCAGAGCCAAGGTTGGGGCTCTTCCTATCTATGGATTTGTGGACCTAGCTGCTTTTCCAGATTTGTAGAAGATGTAACCTGATACTCATCAGTGTGTGTGTGTGTGTGTGTGTGTGTGTGTGAAGTTTTAACTTGCGTTATATTACATCATTGTTTGAAATATGTGATTTATTTAGTAATCTTCCTTATTTTGTTTAAAAGTACTGCCCATTGACACTGAAGAATATTTATAAATGAATTTCTTTAGAAAAGAGCATTAGAGAGCACTCTATTTAATGCAAGATAGAAATTCCATAGAGTCCTAACTAAGTCATTCATCAAAAAATGTTGAGCTGTTGTTTATTTTGGTATAGAAATTTGTTTACATTTGGCTGAAATCTTATGCCAACCCACTACATAATTTTTAATATAAAATCTTCCATGGATTTCTTCTATTCTCCATTAATGTTACATAACACCAATTATAAACATGTCTATTGTTGAACTTAATATCTAAATTGAGTTTACTTTTCTTTTTTTTTTAAACTAATCTTCAGGTCCTCAAAACAAATTTATGATTGTTGACACTAAAAGATTCATGTTTGGGGAAAAAAAAGATTCATGTTTGCATTATTTGAAATCTTCTAGAACACCATTTCTTCTTAAAGGGGATGGATTGTAGACCTGACCATACCGCATTCTTCTGCAGAATGTGGCATGAGAACGCCCTTGGAAATGCTTAAATTTGTTTTTACTCACCCCTTTTTCAGAAGTAACTTGAGACAACCTTCAGACAATCTCCAGAAAAGAACCTATCACATGAAGAAAACCAAACAGAAAAACAACCCTGCAACTCAGGGCCGTCAAGTTGGTTCTGACTCAGAGCGACCCGATAGACCAGGCTAGAATGGCTTTGGTAGATTTCTAAGACTAGCTCTTCGCAGCACCAGCAAGCCTCGTCTTTCTCCCTCTGAGTGGCTGGTGGTTTTGAATGGCTGACCTTGCCGTTAGCAGCCCAATGAGTAGCCAACTACACCACAATGGTTCACCTAGCACATGACCTGGGAGATAGTTAATATTCTAATGTACACAATTTCCTCCATCATGTATCAAATTAATTTATATGACTGATTTTACTGGTCACAGCAAAAACTAGAAATTGGCTGCTTTCCTATTGATGTTTTTTGACTTTTACTTGTGAATTGGGTAAGGTTTTATAGAGCAAATTAATTTTCTTTTCAGCATTTCACATACGTTTTGTTTCTTGTCATTGATTGCTTTCCTTGGTGAGCCTTACTGATGAATGATGAATGCTGGAAATGAAATATTTATAGGAAACGATTGGTAGCCTATCTCTTGGCATATCTTTTCTGAATGTAATTTCTCTCAGGGCCTTTTTATTAGCCAGAGAGCAAGCAAGGAGCCATGGAGTTCACCAGTTAAACGCTTGCTTGTTAACCTCAAGCGTGGTGGTTGGAACCCCTCAGCCACACCCTGGGCAAAGGACCTGGCGATCTGCTTCCATAAACATTCAGCTTGAAAAACCAAACCCAATGCCGTCTGGTGGAGGCCACCTCATCGAGGCCAACCCTGAAGGACAGAGCGGAACTGAATGTCCTACAGGATTTCCAAGACCAAGTCTTTACAGAAACAGACCACTGTGTCTCTCTCCTGAGGAACAATGAGCGGATTCCTACCTCTCAGTTCAGCAGCTGTGTACTGAGTGCTTAACCGCTGCACCACTAGGGGCTCTGCTGTAAAAGTATACAGCCTAGAAAACCCTCTGGGAGCAGCTCTGCTGTGTCCCAGGGAGTTGCTATGAGTCAAAATCAGTTTGACAGCACCCGACCACCCGATCCAAGTTTAGAGACACACCTTCATATGAGGACAGGGACTGCTGATTAGAGAACCTAGTCAGCCGTCTAGTTGAACAGAAGGCGGCTCAGTGCTATGTAGAGGCCAGGCCACGGAGATCCTCAGGGAAGAAGATCTCCCCCTGGGAGTAGTGTTGGGTTTGGTACTGGAACACTGACAGCTCAGTTGGAGGCCCTAAATACACGGAACAGAGAGAGCAGAGAGAGTCCAGCTTTCGTCAGGCTTCTGTTTATTGATTAGAAGGAGAAAGGCTCTAGGTAGATTACACACTGACCTGTTGGTATAAATAGCGCTGCTGTTCTCGATTAGGTGGCAAAATTAGAAGGAAGATTCCTATGTCACATGTGTCCATGTGCATCTTCTAAATAAAACTTGATAGGATCTGTGTATTTCACATATTTAGTACACTTGTGACCTTGTGACATTTGAAAATAGCAACTAGAAATAGATTCTGTATATATATCTGTATATGTATATATACATATATACAGATCATGTAACCATATAATACCGTACATACTATATAAAGAAATAGAATCAATCATGTAACATACATGCACATATTTTATACGGTGAGCATATAATGCTTTCAGTTCCATTTATAGTTTTTTCCTCCCAACAATGTGTGTACTGTTTATTGGGCTTCTTGCCTCCCTCTCTTTCCTTCCTTCCTTCCTTCCTTCCTTCCTTCCTTCCTTCTCTCATCTAACATTTTTGTATATAGGGTGAGTGTGCAAAAAAGGAACACCGAGAGTTTTGACTCTGTCACTGCAGATTGGGGACATAGTGATTTCTAAACCTTGTTATAGATTATGACTTTTGGCTTCCTCTTAAGAATATATACTGATGTTGGTAGGAAATGGCTAATGAACTGTTTTTCATGATTTCACTCAACAGGCCTTTTTGTGTGTGCCCTTAAAGAGTCTTTCACTCCACCAGGCTGTTGTTTACTCTTTGTGTCAGGACCATCTCCTTCTCACCGAGTTGCGAGCACCATCATTTGTGAAATGCCTGTGTTGGGAAGGGTGTTTGGGGTTTCTTGCCAGCTGGATGCATTGTGGGTGTAGACAGTTGTAATATGGAAGTATGACCCTGAGATCCTGAAATGCTGTTTGGTTTGTTATAGCAACTGCGAGAGTTGATAGCTGAGCACAAGCCTCATATAGATAAGATGAACAAAACTGGGCCGCAGTTACTGGAATTGAGCCTAGAGGAAGGCTTTTCTATCCAAGAGAAGTATGTGGCAGCGGACACGCTTTACAGTCAAATCAAAGAAGATGTCAAAAAGAGAGCTGTGGCCTTGGACGAAGCGATTTCTCAGTCTGCTCAGGTAATCACTTACACCAGAAATGTGATGGAGTTCCTGTGAACGGATAGCATGGGAAGATGTTTTCCTAGATTTCCAGATTCAATTTCAACGAAGATTATAATTATTAAATTAACTTTGAGAGCTTATGTTTTTCAAGGCAGTGTTTGTTTGTTTGTTTGTTGTTGTTTTAGGGCAGTGCTTTCCTCCACCCAGACCTCACACCTCTCAGCCTGCGTGTAGATACAGTGAACAATAACTTTCAGTGATGCAATAAACATACCATTGTCACCATTATCCATACTTCTAATTAAACGTTAATCCTGAGTAGAAGAAAATATTTGCCATTAGGAGAGATAAGAGAACATGTAATTATCAATAATAATAAAACACAAGGCAATTAGAAGAAAGATTAAATTATAAGTTGAGTAAAAAGAAATGTATGTGTGGATATATATGAAATATTGGAAATTGATTATTTGTTGCTTCTGAAAATATGTATTGTCAAGAAATTTAATTTTGAAATGACAAATTTTCCATTTATAAGGTTTGTTTTTTATCAAGAGATGCACAGGCATATGGTGACTCAGTTTTTGTTCGTCTCACCCAATGTCCTTATTTTTCTTCCATAATCTTTATGGGTTTAGGTTTTATATTTAGTGGTATGTTCATCTGGCTTTCGTATCAGTATTAATATAGCTTCACAGAACAGATTTGGGAATATTGCTGCATTCTTTATGTTCTGGAATAGTTTGGGTAGGATTAGTTTTAAACTCTTCTCAGTGCTTGGAGGAATTCTCAGTAAAGCTATCTGGGCTGAGGTTTTTTGGGGGGATCAGGGGCATAGGGGAGATTTAAAAAAAAATCTGACCCCTTCCCGCTCTCCTTTTGTTATGGGTCGGTCCATATTTTCTGCCTCAGTCTGTGTTACTTTGGGTAAATGATGTTTCTAGACATTTGACCACTTCTTCTAGGTTTTCAAATTTGTTAGAATATAATTTTTCATAATACTCTGTTGGTTCTGCTGTAATATTGCCTATCTCATTTTTAATTTGGGGTGCTTCCTTCTTTTGCCAGTTTGGCCAGGGGGGGTTCAACTTTATTGATCTTTACAAGGAGCCAGCTTTTAGTCTCAGTAGTTCCTTGGACTGCTTGCTTTTCTGCACATGCATCCATCAGGGACCTTGGCCGTAATTTTCTTTTCCAGTGGTCTTTGATGTTTCCCCATTCTGCTTACTTTTCTGTACTGTGTTCATTTTGTGTATGGGTTTTCTTTGTTGTTTTTGATTTTGTGTTTACTGAGTCTTTATGATGTTCTTCTCCTTTATTTTGGTAAGTTTATTTTCTTTGTAGTTACCCTGATTTTCTTTCTTTTTGTTTTTATACATTTAAAGCAGTCTGCTATATCTTCATATCACCCTGACTTCCTCTCCACGTGGGAGTTCGTTAGCTATACCAGTTGTCTCCCCTTTTATTTTGCAGTTATTATTTCCAGATTGATGTCTCTGACTCTCTTTCCAGTCTTGTAGCCTTGTTTTATTTTTGAGGACTCTTAATCTTGGTTTGTGTCTGGGTGATGTTGTCTTGTGTCTTAATCTTCTTGTTTGATATTGTTGCTTCTCTCTGTCTAAGTGTCCCTTTTATATTTTTGTAAGGTTGGTGTAATTTTTACAAATCTCATTAGTTTCTGTTTATTTCGAAATGGCCTGGTTTTACCATCATATAAGTTTTTATTTCTCTCGGGGATTTATGTATGTCATCCCACTGTCTTTTTGACAGCAGTTTCTCCCAGAAATAAGATCACAGCTCCCTTTTATAGCTGGCCGTTCATTTGTCATCAGCCAATATTAGGGATGTTTTCTGCCAACAAATCTCAGACATTTGCTCTCTGGGTTTTTGCTTTACCTTTTGTCACTTGTTCTGGGATTAGTATCACATGTAGGTTGTTCTTCTGGATAGTATCCCACATAATTCTTAGGCTTTTGTTTTATCTTTATTCATTTTTCTCCCTGACCATTCCTCAAACAAATTGTGAATCAGAGGATGCTGTCCTCAATTTTGTGGATTCTGTCTTCCTTTGGTCCAGTTGTACTCCTATGTTGACCTTCCATTGAGGTGTATATTTCTGAAATTTTATTGTTAATCTTCCACAGGGGTCTTCAAACTTTTTAAACAGGGGACCAGTTCACCGTCCCTCAGACTGTTGGAGGGCCAGACAATAGTTTAAAAAAAAACTGTGAACAGATTCCTATGCACACTACACATATCTTATTTAGAAGTAAAAAAACAAATGGGGCAAAAACATCCGGCAGGCCGGATAAATGTCCTCGGCGGACCGCATGTGGCCCGCGGGTCGTAGTTTGAGGATGCCTGATCTTCCTGATACCTAATTGCGAGGTTTCTAATTACCTATTTAATTTTTGTGAATTACTTTAGATTGTGTGTGTATGCTTGTGTCTATGTATGGTTGTCTGTGTTTTTCTTGACCTCTTTGATTTTTTTTTTTGATGGACCCTGAATAAAAGTCTTTTTTGCTATTTACCAGGTAGTTCAGGAACAGTTCTTGCACAGAAGGTTTTCTGGCCCTTTATTTTGCTCACCTGCTCTGAGCTGCCTCGCCCTGCTTCTTTGTGTGCTTTGATATTGTCTGTTGTCTCCAAGACATTAAGGTTTTATTGTTTTCATATATTGATTGTTAGCTTCACTGATGTTTTGTTTTCATATATCTGGGTAGGGTTCATGCAGTAGCTACTCTGATCACTAAGTTTGGCAACACTGTGATGCTCACCACCTGTCACCAGGGCGTGGACCACGGGTCTCCCTGTGTTCACTGCTTGTGTGAAGTAGCAACACAGGCCGCTGGCTTACTGATCCATTGGTGCAGGAGTAGGTGATTGCCCTTGTTGACTGTGGAGGGTGGGGCAGGCGAGCAGGGGTTTGGTGGCTGCCACTTGTCAGGTAGATGGTGAATAGGTGCTAATTGTATCATATCCCATTTCTTAATGAGTACAGTCAATTATTTATAAGAAACTAAGTCCGATGTACAAAAACAGTGCCAAAGAGAGGGGTGCGTACAAGTCTTGGTTTTTGCCTATGTTGTCATAATATCACCTGGATGTCTCTTTACGTTTGTTCCAGGATCTACGATTTTAGCGATAAGATTAAATTTTTAATTGTATAATTTAGTAGGGTTTTTTCCCCATGTACATTTCACGTTAGGTGCTGTGGATCATTCTTCTTCCAACCAGTCCCTGTGTTTTACTCCTAGTTCCACGACAAGATAGACCAGATCCTTGAAAGCCTGGAGCGCATTGTGGAGCGTTTGAAGCAACCACCGTCTATCTCTGCTGAGGTGGAGAAGATTAAAGAGCAGATCAGTGAGAATAAGAACGTGTCCGTCGACATGGAGAAGCTACAGCCACTGTACGAAACCCTTAAAAAGAGAGGAGAAGAAATGATTGCTCGGTCTGGGGGCACTGAGAAAGACATATCTGCCAAAGGTAGTATTTTTGGAATAAGGGGGAAAATTGAACTTTACTTTAAAAATAATTCCTAACTTTTATGCTGTTATTCCCAATTACATAACAAAGTGACAACTCTTACAAAAGATATTTAGCAAATATGTTTATGGTGGAAGGACTGTGTATATGGTATATGGTGTATATGGTGGAACGACTGTATAAATACCATGTCAAAGTCTTCCTGTGCTTGTGAAATCCATCAGTTAAATGTAAAGTATTCCAATTGGCAATAGGGCCTCTTAACTAGTTGGTTCAAACATCATACTAATCAGGCCACACCTAGGAATTTTGGTTCCCATTACATAAAACAGATGGCATCTCCCATTCTGTAACCACTGAAATGGCTCCCTGAACCACAGTGAGCCTTCTTAGAGAGTGAGCCGGGGGCCCATAGAAGGGCCGTGTACATAGATTAATGGGAATTTATGAGAAAAACAAGGCCAAAATAGGCAGGGGCTTCAAAAATCTTCCTGGAAAAATGAAATTAAAAGATAATGGAATCCTTCCACAACCTTTTGAAGTCCCCTTGTACCTACCCTATAATGTTATATTCCTGGGTCCGAACAGACAGCTTCATTCTTGATTTGGAGAACTTAAGTAAAGAATACACTTGTCAGGTAGGTTTTCACTTTGGGGGGAGGGGGATTAAAACCAGTCTCGGTCAAATTGAAAACTTTGTGAGTCTATTCTGAACTCATTTTGAGCGTCCACTTTTGTCTGGAAGCGTCTTGGTTCAGTAGAAAGTGAAGATCCTTAGGTGTTGCGTTGTTTGGGATAGGCTATTTGGTACCAGTGATACGCCATGGACTGGAATCAACCCAAATTTGACTCGGTTTTAGATGCACAGCAAATTAACTGTCTGAAGTAAAAACGTCTACTCTGTTGCTCGAGTAGCGCTCACTTACAGAATTGTTGGTATTGCTTTGCTCCATAGCTGTTCAAGATAAGCTTGACCAGATGGTTTCCATATGGGAGAACATACACACTCTGGTGGAAGAAAGGGAGGCTAAACTACTGGATGTAATGGAACTAGCAGAGAAGTTTTGGTGTGATCACATGTCATTGGTGGTTACCACTAAAGATACTCAAGATTTCATCCGTGACCTAGAGAATCCTGGGATTGATCCCTCTGTAGTAAAGCAGCAGCAGGAAGCAGCAGAGGTGAGCGGACAATCTCATTCTAAGTTAAATGGATTGCTGTGGTTAATGTAGGCATTCTCACTGCCATCGAGTCCATTTTGACTCGTGAGGAATTCGCCTGTTAAGATTTGCACTTGTTTCTAAAAATGGACGGCATTATGATATGGGCTGAAAATAGCATGCACCCATAAATATCACTTGGAGAGTGTCCATTTAAATATTTCACTCCATCCGTCCCTACTGCTTCTGCCTTATTTCAAGACTTTGTTATCTCTTCTATGGCTTCTAAAGTAATTCAAAATAATGTCCCTGCCTGTACTTTCCTCATCCTTGCCCCCAAACTGTTTCGCTCTCCTTGCTCTGTGTACTTTCACACATTTATTTTGTTAGGGTACAATGTTCTTCCTGCCACGCTACTGGGAACTCCTACTCAGGCTTTGAGGTTCAGATGGATGGGTACCTCCCGTGCCAGAATTAGTCCATCCAAGTTTCCATAACACTTTCATCTTAGCAAGGACTCTACACGTCGTTGTTGCTAGATTCCACTCACAGTTACAACCCATAGCACCACAGAATGAAATACCACATGGTGTTCCTGTACTCTACTCAGAGTATGACTTAACCTGTCTTTCTTAAGTCTTCTGAGCTCCTTGAGGGAGAATAACCACATCTATTTTCCTGGTATGTTCACTGCCTAGTTTAGGGCTTGATTCATGTGAGATAAATACATATATTTAGCATTCACATGAACATAATAGAGAGAATACTTCATTTCTAGTACAGTATTTCAGTAACTTAGTCACCTTTTGATAATGACCTAATATCAAAAATCTAAGACTAGATTATCTTAAATCTATGAACAGACCTGTTTTACTTATATGTATTTTAAATATTTATTGCCAGCTTAAATTGGTGTGAAGAACAAAATATCATACTATGCCTCTCAATATTACTGATATATATGTTTTTAAACTGTTCAGGTATTTGTCACATGGTATGATTCATTAAATACTGTCTTTGTAATAAAAGTCTGGTCTTCATTATTCAATTCAAGGGCAGTTTTTTAGTTTTAATATTCTGTTCTGCTTTCTTGATGGAAAACATTTAAGAACTTAGAGAACAGAAAGGAGACCATAATAATGAACTCTAACTACTCTGAGAAATAATGACCATTCATGTCTTTGTGGACGTCTTTCTAGTGTCAATGTGATCTTGCTTACAATTCCCAGCAAGGCCGTTCTTTTTTGTTTTCTAGTCCCTAAGAGAGGAGATAGAAGGACTGCAGGAAGAGCTGGAGATGGTTATTAACCTGGGCTCGGAGCTCATCTCCGCGTGCGGGGAGCCTGACAAACCCATAGTCAAGAAGAGCATGGATGAGGTACAACTGGCATACGCTCTAATCAGAATGTTGTGGGGTTTGTTGGTCACTGTCGTTAACTAAATCAGATGTTTTCCCCACTAAACTCCATTTCATAGAAGTAGTTGAAAATTTAATATATGCAGGAGGACTAAAAGAGTTCTATTATTTATATTGTAGTTACATTCAGCCTGGGATTCTCTAAATAAAGCTTGGAGAGACCGGGTTGATAAACTTGATGAAGCCATGCAGGCTGCCGTTCATTATCAGGATGGACTACAGGTAAGGGGCCGCGGTGTGTCTGAGCTGCAAGGCGGACTCACGCTAATTGATGTCTATCAACTCACACATTGGCACCACCCCAAGACTGTAGTTGTGAGCAATTGTTTTGCCTATTTGCATATACTTCTGACACTTAAATATGTATAGGTTGATGTACACATTTGCATACTTTCAGTGAAATTTACTTTGAAAATAAATGTTTTAATGTGTGCTTTTTTAAGTGAAAGTAAATGTTCCCACACAATATTTTTCATAGACATGGCCCAGCACCAGGCAGTGAAATAGAACGGAATCTGAGTTCTGTTCTAAAATTGAGTGGAATAAGATGAAAGGGGTAAACACTATCTAAAAATATCACCAAGCTAAACTAAAGTCAGAAGTAAGGAAATTTGATTCGAAGCCAGCGTTCTCCATGTGCTAAAATAGATTTCTAGTCTATTAGATCATAATCTGATTTTTAAGAAGTGTTTTCTTTTCCACATATATAACTAATTCTCTTTAATATTTGTTTTCATGCTCTAGGAGTCCTCATCGGGTTCTTTAACCAACCGCTTTTAAGGGTTTTTGTTAGCTTTTAATAGTAACAATTATTTTGTCAACTGAGGGATATTTCTTTCCTTACCTTTCTTCACTTTGTTCCATTTCCTAAGAGGCTGGCAGGAGTTTACTCTGCCACCTCTCCTGCCATATGGAAAAAACCTTCCTAAGTATTTCCATAACACAAAGTGAGTATTATTTTTAAAGTTCAGATGAGAATGACTTTTCCCTTTTGATTGTGCACTCCCACTTCTCTGTAGTTCTGAAAATAAATACCACAAACCCTGGCTTATGGCCACTGAACAGTGTTTTGAGCTATGGAATTACATGAAAAAAATCAATTGCAAACAAAAACCTGACGATACGTCCACCAGTCCCCCTCCCTTTTTTTAACCAATCGTATCATTTAATGTCATTCCTAGTGACACGATTGGACAAGCGTTAGACTGCTAACCATATGGACTGTGGTTCAAAACACCACTTACTCCCAGGGAGAATGATGAGGCTCTCTGCTCTTGTAAACATTTATGAAATCTTGGAAATAAAAGGATAATTTATTGGCTTCTGTCTGTGAGGCTGGGTTATGATTTTCACTCATCTGAAATGGTGCCACCAGCATGGGTCCTCAGACAAGACTTTTTTACCTCCATCAGAAAAACAAGATAGGGTAGTTGTGCTTTGATAGTATCCTCTGTTTATTGAGGCATTATAGTCAGATGTCAAAAGATCAGATGCACGGGAGGTTTCAAGATTTGATTGCAAAGTAAAATAAATTATATTTCTTATATTACTTACTAAAGTTCATAGATTTTATTGATGGTAACTTAAACATACCAGACTTCAGATACCGTCTTTTTCCTACTCTGTGGTCAGGTAACTTTAAATCTTGTTTAAAGTATAAAATAATTTGGTTTGCATTCACTGCCTGAAAAGATGTGAGTTGAGCTTTCGTTGTTGTTCTTGTTTTAAATGTTTATACTACATAAAAAGAAAAAAAGAAGGAAGTTATGAGGTCAGTGTTAGAATTCAGGATAATGGTCCTAATATCCATCATTTGTATGTACAAGACTTTAATGCTAACCTAACACGCAAGGGTTTTGTTGAGCCAAATAGCTTGTTCAAGTGCTAAACCATAGAAGTCTTGGTTGCTAACTCCATAACAACAGATGGGCTTGTATCTTTTTCTTTCACAGCTCAAAATTCAAATGGCCTTTTAGGCAGCTGTAAGAGAGGGCAAAGAGAATTTTATTTTGATCAATCAAATTTCTTAATTTTTTTTTTTAGTGGATCTGTCTTTGAAAGTTCTTAATATTTATTAGGAAAGAATTTTCTTTGCAAACTTGGGTGCAAAATGTCTGTTTCGCATTTGGACAGCAGTTTTACCCTGTTGCTGCACTTATTAGTAAAACATCCAACTTTTCTATAAAACGTCCTCGTTCCATAATGTTTTTGACCGTTTATGCTTGTACTCCTCTATAGCATTTGAAATGTGAAAAATTCAAACGTGCTACGTATGTGACACATGCGAATCTGTTTTTCAGACACTGTTTGACTGGGTAGATATTGCAGGGAGTAAGTTGGCTTCGATGTCCCCAATCGGAACAGATCTTGAAACGGTCAAGCAGCAGATTGCAGAGCTAAAGGTATGAGTCGGGGCAACTCTTCTAGCGAAGACTTCCTCACATTGGAGATTCTTGGTGTGATTTCTTTTATGTCAATAAAGATTTATGATTTGATTGTTAAACTGGTTTAAGATTCATAAAGCATTTAGAATACAACCTGACAAATAACGAGCAGCATACAAGTGCTTATTAACTAAGTGAAATAAAGTGCTTTCCCCCCCTTAAATGAGAACCTGTTCATTAAAGAAAAATAAGGAAATATAAATAAGAAAAATACATTATAATCTCTTAATTAAATAACAAAAGAAATATTAAAGCCACCCAAAATGCTAGAGGTCAACACTCAAAGTTTCAAGTCTTCTCATGTTGAGGCAATATGTGTGTGTGTATACTCACACGTTTGATAGCTATTTGTATGAGATGCTTTATTAATACAGGATCATACTATAAGGATCTTTATAACTTCTTTGTATTTAATAGTGTACTATTTTCCTCAGTACACACGGGGTAACATTTTTATGTTCTTCAGTAATTTCTGAGTAATTCATTTAGTCTAACAGCTAAAGACACATACATGATCTAATAGTGATTCCCAGAATGAGTGATGGCTTTCCAATGTTCTGTGTTTTCCCATCTGCTTTCCTCCTCCATAACTTTTGTGGCTTTTGTGGCACTTGCTCTCCAGCTGCGAAAATGGCTGAACTGCTTCCTCTTTTAATTCCTCTGTACCGATGATCATTTATCAGAGTGCGATCAGCTATTTCCAGCCTTATTTTAAGTCCTCATTCACAAAAAGACACAGCACACCTTTTTCAATGCATTCACTGGGGTTGTTAAAATATAAAGTAGCATCTGCATTAAAATTTTTTATTTTTACACGTGTGACATAGAATATTTCATTCATTATATGTGCATATATGCAATATGTAACATATACCGGTATTGCTATATACTAATTTTTGAGGTTTTTATTGCTACCATCAGTAGATTAACTGTATATGTTCCTGGGTAAACACATGATATGCTTTATGGACAATTATGGGTGTCGAGGAGACTTTATTTTGCATTTTTTGCATGTTTGCATATGTATGAATGGTTTTCATTTAGCAGGCTGGTTGGGCATGCTCACTCTGATATTAATGATGCTGCCAGAATTTCCATTTGCTTGTCAGGTGAATCAGAAAAATTCTCTAACTGATCTCAATTTGGTGCCCCTTATTTAAATTTGAGGATTAAAATAATGTCCCTTCTAACTTTGCTGAGGGTACCTCGTACACTACTTAGCAAGTGCTGAGCGCATTTCTGTTTTAATGACCACTTTCACGTGCTTGAGAGAAATTCAAGGGACTCCTCAGCCATTAATTATGTATCATTGCAATTTTAAATCAATAGAATATTTTATGAAGGAGTAGTTTCCTGTTACAAGCAACCATTTGCTAACCTGTTACTTGGTAAAGCCATTAATGCTGCATTAGAAACTCAGAAAGCACCAGGAGAGAGTAATGTGTATAAGGAGCCAGTGAGATATAGGAATGACTAAGTGTTAATAGCCACAACCCAATAAGACAAGATACAAAATTAGCGGACTCAAGATATGTGTATGTTTTAGGACAAGAAATAGCACATTATGCTTTGTTTTTTAGGCACAGCTTTTTCTAGATCCATTCTAAAATTCACTTGCTGAACATACATCATTGGGAATTGGGGGGAAAAAATAGAGACCGAAGACAAAATATCAAAATTACAAATAGAAACCTCCTTCTGTCAGAAAATACTACATTAAGAGAAAAAAATTCCTCTAATATTCTTATCATTCTTTCATTAGAAAAGAGTTTCATTAGATTTTTATTTCTCTTTATCTCCCTTCCATGATTTGAAGTATGAACTAGAGTAAGGATCTAGCCCATTTAACTTTTTGTCTTTAGTTACTGATGTGTGACACCTTTCTCAACTTTATCTCTTTACAAAAAAATACAGCAATTTAAGTCAGAGGCCTATCAACAGCAGATAGAAATGGAACGACTGAACCATCAAGCCGAGCTTTTGCTGAAGAAAGTGACAGAAGAGATTGACAAACATACTGTTCAGGACCCATTAATGGAGCTGAAATTGATATGGGATAGCTTGGACGAGAGGATTATCAACAGACAGGTAAATACCAATCCCCATCCCCTTATTTCAACAGGACTCTTTTGCTTTTCAGGTCTCCCCTGGCCCTTCTTTTGAAATACAACTTAGGAGATTCAAACATAAATTGTAGGATGAATGTGGTGACTAGACCTCATGGGATATGCTTATGGATATGATCAACCAGTGATTTTTTCCTCTTGTTTAATGAATCTATGTCATTCCTCATACTGAATTCATTCGTGGGTTTCTTTCTTTTCCACTTTTTCTGCAGCATAAACTGGAAGGGGCTCTCTTAGCACTGGGACAGTTCCAGCATGCTCTGGATGAGCTATTGGCCTGGCTGACACACACTGAGGGCTTGCTGGGTGAACAGAAACCTGTTGGAGGAGACCCGAAGGCCATCGAAATTGAACTTGCCAAACATCATGTACGTATTTGTTACTGCTGAGTCTGCTGTCTATTCAGCAGGTTTCCAGAGACTTGGCATGCAAATTAATAGTAGGATCATCAGAGTCCTAGATCCTTATCTTAAATAAGTTCTTCTCGACTATCAAATAGAAAGGGTTTGATTATTGTACGTGGCTACCATTGTTTTTAGTAAAACTGGGGTTTGAGGCACTTTAAGATATTATTGTGTAGTTTTTTACTAGTCTTTTTTTTCATACATTGCCCTCCCTAGAAATTATTACCTAGTTTAAATTATTCTTCCACCGTCCCTGGTTCTGTAAACACAGTCGCTTTTGAACCATATCTAATTTAGCCATTAGAACTTATTTTGCATCATTAATGTTTAAATGGAAACATGCTTCCATTATGTAATTCTTCCAGTAGCAAAGACTGTTAGACTTTCGTTGATATCTATACTATAGCTTCGCTAGAAGCAATCAAGACTATTAAAGCTGACTCTACACCTAAGGAAAATAAATGCTCAGTCTGAGTTCAGAGCCATGTTTACGTGTCCATACTTAGCAATTGCCTTGAAAGCCAGCACTCACCAGTGATGGGAACGTGACGTAGGGTAGTAGAAGTGAGAAACAGGCTGACCCTGGTCCCTGTCCAGTGATTTGGCCTGGGGATGGGTGGGGACCTGTTTATTCTGTTTGCCCGTGAGCAGTTAGAAATGCCCCTTCCCCTTTTCCTTCTCTCCCGGAGATCGGAAGTTGGAGGACACAGACTTCCCGGCACAGTTGCTGGAGGCAGGGAGGGCGTGTTTCTGCCCCTCTCCCTCTTCCTTCTCTTCCTGCGCCTGTACTTCGACTTAGGGAGCAGGATTCGGATTATTGGAAGAATACATTTTATAGAATTATCTTTCAGTGACCTTTACATTTCGAAAGTGATTACCATGATTCACATATCAAAGTTCATACGTGATTTTATAGTCTGATAAGTACTCCTTACCAGATGCCTCCAAACACCAATGAATATGGTTAGAGAAGCAGTGATGTCAGAGGGTGGCTGCTTTTCCCTGAACGTCCTTCTGGTCTAGATTTGCCTCTCTACGCGTGATGTCTTCTACAGGGTCAACAGATAGTTTTTTCTTTCTTTTTTCTACGAATCACCAACCTGAGTCTGCGAGTTAGAGTAGGACGATGATCGACTCTTAGCAGGATTAAAAGAAGTTTCTTTTGGTTGCTAATAATGGAACCATAGCCCTCCTGAAAAGAATCCATTAACATGTCTTTTATTCTCCAAAGTGTACTTCATTTCTGTCTAAAATGGACCTTTCAGCCCTGGGGTCACTTTTTATACTTATAACTGACTGCCATCTACTATATTTAAATCATATTAAACTATTCTTATGTTTCTGGTACATGAAAGACAGGCATTCTTTACTGGGATCTATAGTCAGTGTTTTATAACTGTGTTTTCTAGTCGTCTTCTTTTGAAAGCTAACATTACATGGCTGGATTGAGTATCTTGGATACACAGTGGAAATTCTTTTCCTTGAGTGTTGGGTTCCCCTAGTATTTCTCTCAGCTTAGAAGTTAATTCGAACATCCTGTGAATAAGAGAAGATGAAAGAATGTTTTATGAATACAGTTTTCTCCCTTTCAGAATGCTAATTACAGAATATGGCACTATACTATACATCTAAGAAATGTAATGATTCCATATTTGAAAATGAATATATAGCAGTAAAAATAAGATATCTTTTTAAAAATCATTTTATTAGGGGCTCATACAACTCTTATCACAATCCATACATACATTAATTGTGTAAAGCACATTTGTACATTCATTGCACTCATCATTCTCAACACATTTGCTCTACACCTAAGCCCCTGGCATCAGCTCATTTTTCCCCCTTCCTCCCCTCTCCCCCCTCCCTCATGAACCCTTGATAATTTATAAATTATTATTTTGTCATATCTTGCCCTGTCCGACGTCTCCCCTCACCCACTCTTCTGTTGTCCGTCCGCTAGGGAGGAAGTCACATATAGATCCATGTAATCGGTTCTCCCTTTCCAGCCCACCGCCCCCTCCACCCTCCCAGTATCGCCACTCACACCACTTGTCCTGAAGGGGTCATCTGCCCTGGATTCCCTGTGTTTCCAGTTCCTATCCGTACCAGTGTATATCCTCTGGTCTAGCCAGATTTGAAGACCCCAGACATATCTTTTGATGACCAGGCACCATCAGCTGCCTTCACCACAGTTACCTGTTCACCCACTTTGTCTTCAGCGGTTGTGTCGGGAAGGTGAGCATCATAGAATGCCAATTTAATAGAAGAAAGTATTCTTGCATTGAGGGAGTACTTGAGTGGAGGCCCAATGTCCATCTGCTACCTTAATACTAAACCTATAAATATATGCACATAGATCTATTTCCCCATCCTCATATATAAATAAATTTACATATGTACATGCCTTTATTTAGACCTGTATAAATGCCCTTTGCCTCCTAGCTCTTTCCTCTATTTCCTTTGACTTTCCCAAATAAGATATCTTAAGACCTGAGAATTCAGTTAGTGAAAATGAACTTAGGTCAAATGAAAACCATTAGAAGCTTTTAATTATCGTATCTATATACTTCTTGTCACGTATTACAAGAGTCTTCTAGTGCAGTGTTTCCCAAAGTGGGTGCTGGAATGATCCAAGGGGGCTGCAAGAGCAGAGTCCTAGCACTTTATCCTGAATTATGGTACAAAGTTTTTGATTGCCACTGGAGCTCTTAGTAATTCCTTCCCCCCCCACCTAAAATGGAAGCAGTGGGCCAAACAAATATAGAAACCTGTGTTCTAATGGGAAATACAAGCAAAATGTTCTCACATAATAATTTTAGAGGGTGCTGGCAGACCAATTTTATATCTAGGGAAGCTGTACAATAAAGGGAGGGGGGCGGCAAATCCCATCATTTAAACCTTTCCTAGTATTAAACTTCTATGTACGGGATGCGTTTGTTTCAGTATGTTTCAGGCCTTAGAAAACAAAATGTGTTAAAGGTAATATTTAACATGTTACAAACGGGTCAGTATGAGGCTATCTTAATATTTTCAGGTGCTCCAAAATGATGTATTAGCTCATCAATCCACAGTGGAGGCCGTTAATAAAGCAGGAAACGATCTAATTGAATCGAGTGCAGGAGAAGAAGCAAGCAACCTTCAGAACAAGCTGGAGGTTTTAAATCAGCGCTGGCAAAATGTTTTGGAGCAAGCAGAACAAAGGAAGCAGCATTTGGACAGTGCCTTGCGCCAGGTGCGTGTCGAGAACAAATTCTGACTCTGTAGTGTTGAAGAGCACAGGGTGGCATGGCGTTCTTTCATTCCTTTACACAGACCCTGGATATACTTTAAGGTAACATTTTAAGGAGAGAAGTAAAAATTAGTGTGGTAACTAATAGAACAGGCCAAAGCGCAGCTCAGCAGTTCTGAGCTTACCATACTAACACTGCCCTGGTAAAGAAAGGTCAGGCAAGCCTAGAGACCCCTCCCTGGCTGTTATTACGCATGTATCTAGAGGCTCAGCAAGCTGGGATTGTTTGTGGCTTTATGGCCCAATTTTTCTTTTAAACCCTTCCCATTCTAGGCCAAAGGGTTCCATGGTGAGATTGAGGAACTGCAACAGTGGCTGACTGATACAGAGCGTCATCTGTTGGCATCCAAGCCTCTAGGAGGGTTACCAGAAACAGCCAAGGAGCAGCTAAATGCTCATATGGTAAGTGCATCGTTTCCTACAGCTCTAGCCTAAGATTCAGAAACGGACCATTTGTTGTGTAAATAAATCAGGGGAAAGGGGGTTAAAAGATGAACAGTTTTATACAGTTAAAAAGGTTATCCATAGATTACATTGTTCAAGTTAGAACTTGTGTTTTATTTCAAGTATTAGTGTGCAGAGATCGGAAGAAAGGTTTATAGTTTATATACTGTATTTTGTAAAAGCAGACCTTCCCCCATAGGAAATAATACACGTGTGTAGGCAGTAATAGAACACTGCAAATTATAAACTTTTTCTTTCATTGGGAAAATATCTCTAAAATAATCAGAATTGGCTTTAAAATTATTGTGAGCGTTTGATTATTCCACCTAATTGCATAGAATGACAAATTTGTCAAGTGATGGAACTAATAGGTACTAGAAATTTTCCATTAACTTTTTGAAGGCCCTTTGTATAAGTGAAAATTTGGAAAACAACGGGCTTATTTAGAGATAACATTCTGAATTAGATAGTGGTGATGTGTACACAACTTTGTGAATATACTAAAAAAAACCCACTGGATTAGCCATTTTAAATATGGGGAATCTTATGTGAATTATATCTTAATTTTAAAAAATAAATTAGCAAACATAAAATATTAGTGAGATAAAAACATATTGTTTTTCATTGCGAACCCACATTATAAATAAATTAGTGGAATAGAATGGGAATAGAACTGACCTCAATTTTTCAAAATAAAATTAAATTTTTCTTTTATTGATCTTAAATTCTGAATTTTTTAAGCAATGTTTTCTTCTATTCTTTATACCACATTTGAGCTAGAAGCATTACAAATGTTTAAATGAGAATAATATTCAGGAGTACCAGGATTTGACTTTCCTGATTTTAAAGTCTGAATAACTTGAATGTCTATTATACTGGGCCTTTATTTTCTGTCCATTACATGTTTTCTCAGTGCAGGATTAAATGACACCATCAAAGTACGTTTAATCCATAGAGCAACCATTTATATTCCTAGGAGAGGCCTGGAGAGAGCCCCTCTTTTTAAAGAGAAGGAAGTTGAGGCTCCAAACCAAATGAAACAACTTCCATCGAGTGAATTCGGAATCATAGTGATTCCATATAACAGAACAGACCTTCTCCTGTGGGCCTCCGAGACTGTCCGTCTTCATGGGAGCAGAAAGCCTCATCGTTCTCCCACAGAGCCCATGGTGCTTCCGAGCTGCTGCCCTTGTGCTGTGCAGCCTGACTCGGCAGCCATTGTGCCGCCCACCAGAGCTCCTCAGTTGAGGCTCAGGAAAGTTAAATGCATTGTCTAGGGTCACACAACTGATTAGTTACTGCTACTGCGACTTAGATAACATTTAAAATGCAGCCCCTCCACCCTGGCATACCTGAATGGATTCATGGTGGTAGTACCATTTCAAAGAGTTCTCCCTAGGCAGGGCAGGGCTATAATTTGGGGCGTTGTTTCAATATCATGAAGCCTTGACGTGTGCATGTTCCGTATGCCAGATAGCGATGGAAAAGTTATGTGGTGTGCGACTGGTGACCCGGGAAAATGGGACTCTCAGATCTCATTCTCTTACAAATGGTATAACTTGGGGGTGTATCTCAATTTAGGAACTGTGTGCTGCCTTTGCTATTAAAGAAGAAACGTATCGGAGTCTGATGCAAAAAGGCCAGCAGATGCTTGCAAGGTGCCCCAAGTCTGCAGAGACAAACATTGACCAAGACATACATCACTTGAAAGAAAAATGGGAATTGGTGGAAGCCAAACTCAGTGAACGGAAAGTATGTGCTTCGATTAATGGAACAGAATTAACGTGTTATCTCATGGCTTTTGCTTCTTTCTGAATAGAACGACCAGAAGTAGAACTTTTAATGACCCATGTTTGGATCTTCGTTGTATACAGCAGAGATTTCATGGAGTCTGTTAAAAATAGTATTGTCTTAATGTAGAAGAGGATTCAAAGACTCTCTTCAGACTTCAGATAAAGCTATAGACTTCAGTAGAAGGACCAGTAGGCTTTTAAGTGTTATAGACCATCAGGTTCTGAGTTGTTAAATAATTCTATCTAACCAGACGTGCTAAGCAAAAAGCTGCGTAGAGGGGAAAAGAAGTGTGATTTTATATATATTTTATAAACATGAACCATACAAAAATCCACGTAGAACTAAAATTTGCGTTACATTGTGAATGCTTTTCTTCTTGTCGCTTTCTTTAAACCGCAGAAACACAGTCTCTGTAATCTTACCTTTCTAAGAAACAGGGTGGGTTAGCGGTACTACAGCAATCCTGCCATCTTCCTGGTAAAGCATAGGGACGGTGTCAAACTATTAAAAATAGGCATTCTATTGTGTTTTAGGTGAAAGATGACAGCACGTTGGGTTGCCAGTGAACAGTTTTTGTGCCCTTTGTTCCATGACATCGGTTACAATTTTTGCAGTTTGTCAACATTCTCCTTACTTCCATTCCGTTTCCATTTGTCTGGCTTCCCTGTCCCTCCTTGCCTTTGGGCAAATGTGGACCGTTTGGTCTCGTCTAATTTTGATTGTTGAAGGGAGCTCATTCCTCATGGGTGAAACTGTTTGCTTTCCAAGCCGACCCTGAAAAGAGACCCCCATTCCAAGCTCAACGGATATCTTAGGACAACAGAATTTCATACTGTTTTGATGCCTAAAATTAATTGTATGGATATGAGTTGTTTCTTGTTCGATTTTACAGCGTCTGCTTAGGAACTGTGGGTAGTTGCCCCAGCCATGATTTTAGTGTCCGTGAACGCTGCAGCTGCAGGGAGCTGCTTTGCACTATTCTTACACGGCTTTGTTTCGCCAGCGTCCCAGTGCAGGCCCTGACATCGATAAACTGTTTAGTTAATATAGATTCTCCATAAATAAAATGGGATGAGAAGGAAATCTGCCAGAGAGTGTTTCAACTGAAAAAAATAAATAACAAACCTCTTAAATATCATCCAATGCTAAATAATCTGTGTTTGCAGACTAAACTGGAAGAGGCCCTCAATTTGGCAATGGAGTTTCACAATTCGCTCCAAGACTTCATCAACTGGCTTACTCAGGCTGAACAGACACTGAATGTAGCTTCTCGGCCAAGTCTTATCTTAGACACGGTCTTGTTTCAGATCGACGAGCACAAGGTATGTGGAGACGGGAATGGATACCAGGCAGTTTTAATGTCAAAAAGCGTGAATTTTCTCATTGGAAAGCTGTCATTGTGTCCTTGAAAATGGTTTCAGCTTGTGACACTTGGAGGCATTCATATGACAGTTTGATTTTTCACTTGTTTCTCTTTGCACCCTTTTATTTCTTTTTTCGGGGAAAGGTCTTTGCCAACGAAGTCAATTCCCACCGTGAGCAGATAATAGAGCTGGACAAAACTGGAACCCACCTGAAATATTTCAGTCAGAAGCAAGATGTTGTCCTAATAAAAAACCTGCTTATCAGTGTACAGAGTCGATGGGAAAAGGTGGTTCAGCGGTTAGTGGAAAGAGGAAGGTCTTTGGACGATGCACGGAAGAGGGCTAAGCAGGTAAACCTGACAGTCAGTCAGTTCCAGCTGCTGAATAAATGAGTGAATGAACAAGAACTTTGTTTACATATACATACTATAATATATATATAATAACTCATTAAAGATTTTGTTACATATAATATTCTGTATACATATGTTACTTTTTGCAATATGTATCAGCCTTTGTGCATATTGTATGTATATAAATGTGTAAGTATTGATCATTTGGGGATATAAATATATATATATATATATATATATATATGTTATTGAAATACTTCCCCGCTAGCTACATTAGGTATAACACATCACAGCATGCAGCCAGGAGGTTTATTTTCTAAAAGGCCATGGCCTACATCTGGAGGCTGATAGCTTCACTTTGTGACCTGAAGTTTCAGGCTCTGGGGACCAATTGTGAAAAGATTGGTTCTAGTTAGACTTCACAGATGGCTGTTAAGGCCCCCCAAGAAAAGGGGTGGTTAGGAACAACATAATTTTTGCTGTTTTTCTTTTCTTTTCTTTTCTTTTAAAAACTGTATCTTTTCAACCTCTGGTCTCATGCTCAGAGTGAGGCGTCATAGTTTACAATATTGCTATCTTCTGCTTAATTCCTTAGCTAAACTTTCTTCAGAAACTGTCAACCACGAGCTAGCCATCCGTCCTGCCAGATGGAAACTTTCTGAAAAGGGGGAGTCTGTGCCAGTGCTGGCTGATGGTCCTTTCTGTCGAAGCTTTCCTTTCTTCCTTGAGTTTTCATAGAGCTCTAGCCCACTGCAAAATCAACTATTTGAATCTTTTGTGGCTGTTGTTTTTTTCTATTTGCTTCTTTCTTTAGTTTTGGTGATTTTTAGGGAGAGGGTTTTGGAGTTTTGTTGGGCTTTGCTTGGTTTTGGTTTTGGTAAATTGGGAGAATCTCACCTTCTCCTCCACCAGTTAGTCTGTTGCTAACTAGCATGCCTCTTCTAAACAAGAGGTACACTTCTGTGTCTCTGTGCCCCAGGGGCAATAGACAGAGAAGAGGATGCACCTACCTTGCTTGGCACACAGCTTTGATTTCCAGTGAAAGCTTAGTGTAGTGCTGATGCTGAATTTGCTGCCCTAACCAGATGCGTTTTCTAGCTTTGGTCTTGCTGGGAGGCCTGCCTTGTTGGAAGATACAAGAGATGTTAGAGTAGCCACATGTTCCCTTCTGTAGAAATCAATTTTAAAGAGTTCAGAAATGACAGATTGTATGAGGGAGCTTCAAAGTGGTCCTGGAGACAGACGTTCCATTATTTTGTAATTCAATTTTTCCATGCACTTTTTGAAGCCCTTTCATATTGTTACAAAATCGCATGCCAGGTAGCCTTTTTTGAGTGGTGGGCATGATCGGTTCAGTGATACACAAATAGAATAGAATGCCTCTCTAATGAATTCATCCTGATCCCGACATTTTCTTCTCTTCACATACGTGGCCAAAGTTACTTGGATGTCATTAGTCATTCGGCCACCCTCTTCCTCCTTCCTCCCTTTTTATCCGTTTAATTTTCTCATTGGGTTTAACTATGTTTACAAGTGTTTTCTAATGTTTTCAGGGCAGATGTAAAACATTTCATCTTTATGTGACTTGAAACTATTTTTGAAAGCAAGACTAGCCTTAGAATCTCTTGGTTCTAATTTCGGACTTTCTGTTTTACTTAGAATCAAGTCACCTAATTGGACAACTAGCCGCTGCTTTAGTTGCGTTCTTATGACTACACTCTCTTGGGTTTTAGCTCAGATGTTGACTGCAGTCCTCTGGCCCTGGACACCTGTGTGTCCATTCTGGTCTCTGCTCTCGGATTTGGACCGATGTGCGTTGTGGGAGGGGATGTGCAGGGGCACAGCACTGTAATGAAATCACCCCTAATGGCCCTGGCAGCTCTGTGGCTCTGTGCCCTTATTGCGCTTTTATTGTTAAATGTCGTTTTGGTGATTCATTATTAATGTGCTTGGTTGTAAAATACATTTTATTTTGATTGCTTAAGTATTTGTGTGTGTGTACATATTCACTTAAATTTATTGTGAGGAGTAATTTATAACCAGTTTCACAATTTGGTTTCCAAACATAGTACCATGAGTTCTTGAAACTACAGAGGAAAGGGATTCTGGCTAACGTTACATGGATCTGTAATAAAAGTGCAATGCACTCGTTATGTTCTTGCTACTTTAAAAATCTAGTGAACAGACTTCACAGTGCCTTTCTTAGCAGAGGCATTAAGCACCCTACTTAACGCCCAGATCTATCAAGAAATAGCAAAAAAAAATTTTTAAGAAATAGCGGTAGGAAGAAGAACAAAATTCTCTGTGAATTTCCCGTCATTGACAAGGGAATGACGGGAGAGGGGTCTCCCTGGTGCTCCTGAAATCCTGCAGGGTTCATTCTCCCAGAGTGACCAGGGCGCACCACCTCAATGCCAGGTGTTACCAAGACAGTCCATAATCTGCCCATGAACCAGTAGCACATTTCCCACCTTCAGGAGAAATTCTGCATTAGTAATTTTCAACATTTCTGTAAGCATTAACTCAATAATTCAAGTATAGTGAGTATGTGAAGATAAGGGTGCTACAGCAAAATGTCGTGAAGAAAGCAGATGGTGCCCAACTCTCAAAAAGAATAGCATCCGGGCTCCTAAAGGCTTATACTTCAACAAGCAGTCATCTAAGTGAGACATCAACTGAGTCCACATGGAATGAGTGCACTAGCTGGTGTGACCCAAAGATGACAAATAGCAAAATGCAAATTCAAAGGAGGGAAAAGTATCAGAGCTTATGTGGTAAAAACCAAGTTTGCAGAAGGCTACAGATGACAATTGGAGCCCAAATTACAGTTGCATGGGCTCTCAATAGACTGAGCCCCTGGGGGAACCCCTCTGATCATAATCAAGGGGTGTGAATAGCCTCCCTGTCAGACAAAGATTATTAAAAACTTGATCATGGCAAATGGAATTAGGTTATAATGTGGTATCTGGTCATTGGATCTCCCTCTTGACCCATATTAGATTTGCTCTACTTTTTTCTCAAATTTATCTTCCTCTGGCTTATTTTAACATTGTTTTTGGTCTTCTTAATGTATACACTATTTTCATCTTGTTTGCTTTGGTTTTTGTTGTTGTTGTTATTTTTTCGGTATATGAAGCACAGGATGGGGCAGATGTCTAGAGACAGTAATTGGTGTAATGGCTCTTGGGAATGGGAGGGGGAGGTTGGAGGGAAGTGGCGAGAAAACAAATACAGGGGAGGATGTTCTAGAACTGATTGTGGTGATGTATAGGCAACTCTTTTAAAAATATGACTGAACTATGGAAGTATATGGTATGCAAATTATGCCTCATTAGAACTATTAGGGAAAAATGATTGAAAATTTTATGGATACACTTCTGAATTTCTTTTACAGTTCCACGAAGCATGGAGTAAACTTATGGAGTGGCTAGAAGAGTCAGAAAAGTCTCTGGATTCTGAACTGGAAATTGCCAACGATCCTGACAAAATAAAAACCCAACTGACACAGCATAAGGTGGGTCTGTAATTACGAAACGAAAACTGTCACACCTCCCATATGCGAGGAGGTCTTGAAATCTGTGTGGGCATTTCCTTTATCTTTGCATTGAATTTTCCACAAAACTCTTAAAGTCCCTTCTTCTCTCCAGATCACTTTCAGAGTCGGATCTTATACTTAGTCATCACTGGGGGGAAGAAAGGCATGGAGGGAGCCCTGCTGGTGTAGTGGTTGTCCGTTGAGCCGTGACCCACAGGCTTGGCAGTTCAAAACCGCCAACAGCTATCTGGGAGAAAGACTGGACTCTCTACTCCCATAGAGAGTTACCATCTCAGAAACCCCCAGGGGGTTGCTATGAATCAGCATTTAACTCATTGGCAGTGAGGGGAAAAGGTTATCTAATGAGACCCACCTATTTTAATTTGAAAACCTAGCTCTCTTTCACAATGGTCAAGTGTCAACCTTGCCTCTATCTCTAGTGGCCATATCATCGATGATGCCAGATTAATGGTTAAAAGAAAACATACAGTTAAAAGCTGCAAGTTCCCTACAAACTTAAACAATATAAAGGATTTATAATAGTGGTTTGAATGCTGGTGTTTCAAATTTTCATGACAACTGTCTTAAAATTTCTTTTGAAAACTAAAGTAAAAAGTGCACACACTTTTTTGTGCACTTTATAATGTCATTTATGACATTATAATGATTTAGTCATTTATAATGTCTCATTAAACAATGGAGTGGACACATGGGTCCCCTTACCTAAGTTGTAATCCTTGTGTGTATATGTGTGCATGAAATCCCACTCCTCCTCTCGAAGACACATAGTCCATGGTTTTCTTGTGTATGCTAGAAGCATGGCGCAGCACTCCTAAAATCTCTTACCTTTCATAGTCATTTCACGCGGCATTCAAAGGATGCTGTGTTCTCTCCCCTAACCTGCCTCCGTTTTCTTTGTGTCTGTCATTCTGCTTGTACAGCCAGCTGTTAGGTTGAGAAGGTGACTTAAAGGAGGGTGGTCCCTGTAAAAGCAGTTTTACAGTTTTCCGTCAGACACCGATAAATCATCACTTGAAACGTGGTAATTTAGAAGGCTGGATAAAATTGGGAAAGGTGAGGTGTCTCATCATCTGAAAATTCTAACCACTGCCATTCCCCAGAGTGGCGGCCTTCATAAGTCGGACCTTAGAGATTGATGGGAAGGAAGGTTTGGCTCTTTGGCTAGAGAGGGCCTTAGGAATGCCTTCTTCTGCTGGCGGCCTTGGCCGGCAAGTTGTCACATCCAATATTGGAAGTACAGTGACAGAGCCACACTAGCCTTCAACTGGGATGGGGGGGGGGGGGGGAAGAACTGATTGGAATGTGAACTGAAACATTAAACTGAAGAATCCTAGAAATTAAAATATGGGAAGAAACCTGTTAAGAGTCTTTATTATTTCTCCTACTGTGAATTGTTTTTATTTTCATCATTTCTGTCCTTTAAAAACCTTCCTCTACCCTGTGATTCGCTATAATTATATATCCGCTATGTGGACAAAGTCAGTATCAGTACCGTGATGTAAACACTAGCATTCTGTTTGGAATAACATGAGGGGTTAAAAAAAGGGAAAAGTATAAATGTGCTGGACACAATGGCTGTCTGTATGGATTGTGAAAAGAGTTGTACGAGCGCCCAATAAAATTTTTTTTTTTTAAAGAATAGGCTAAGGAGGAGATGGGTGGTAACTTGGGTGAAGGGAAAGATAATCTCCTACAAGAGAGAGAAGGGACACAGTGCTAGCTATTGATATTATTTGAAGTTGTTGAATAGAAACTTTATCTGAAATGTAACCCCCCCATCTAATTTTCAATAAAAAAGTATTGTTTGTTTGAAAAGGAAAAAAAGCAACTATATTTAACAAACTTCAGCAATAGTGTGATATTTTAGCATTATTTTACTAACAATTTCCCAGATGTAGTTGCCTCCTATTACAGAACAAAGTAAATAGCTTAGTCATACTAAAACCCATGAAGTGTGTAGCTTTTAAAGGCAGTGAAAGCGTATTAGGTCATTGTAACCTCAAGGTTATTCTGGAAAACAACACATTTGTGTAGCATTTTACAGCCCACGAGGCTCTCACATGATAGGGTTTCTCTCGGCAGCCTCAGAGCAGCTCTGTGAAGGTTCACTCCCATGTAGGTTAGCGCGGGCTCTCCTGGTGGGACACGGAGGAGGCGCCTGCACCTCATGTCCCTTCTGCTGTTGTTGCGTGTGCTTCTCGTGCCGTCGCGAAGAAACCATGGCCTGACCCAAGGTCATGCAGATTTACCTCTACATGTTCTTCGAAGAACTTCAGTACCCTTTTAATTCTATCGTCCCACAAACTTTTTGGGGCTCCTCATATTTAATAGCAATCGTCTCATTCTTTCTAAGTCTTCTATTAAGTAATTATAAACACAGACTAAGTAAAAGTTTTGCTGCGTGTCACATCTGGCTTGACAGAGCCTAACAAGTGAAAGATGATCATGAATTACCTATGAGGACTGTGTACCTAGTTTATAAAAACTTGTCTTTGAGTTGTAAAGAACAAACATGATTTTTTACTCCAAACCACCACCCCCCACACACATACACACACACACACACGTGCACACAAAAAGTTAAACAGCCATATAAAAAGCAAAATATAGATCTTTTTTTGTGTGCAAAATATACATCTTATATGAATAGTCTAGCTATTTGGTAATGGAAAAATAACCTTTAGTTCTTTAAAGACTTTGGTAGGGTTTAATGTGAGTGATGGAGGGAAAGAAGTGGAAGTTCCCCGGATGGTGTGGCCGTCATAAACAATGGGTCCCACAGAGGAGTCTGTGTTTTCTACTTGCCCTAATTGTGGCTTAGAGATGATAAAGCATATGGCATTATTGTGGCTATACAAATGTGACAACCAACCTACTGAATAAAACCCTGTAGTGAATCTTTATTGCTTCACCCTGTGGTCATATTGGACCTATAGTTACTGAGAGAATATTAAATCATGTTTTCCTTTTAAACCCCCCACTATCATGATCCCAATTCTACTTTACAAATCCGGCTAGACCAGAGGATGTACACTGGGACAGATAGGAACTGGAAACACAGGGAATCCAGGACTGATGATCCCTTCAGGACCAGTGGTGAGAGTGGTGATACCAGGAGTGTGGAGGGAAGGTGGGATAGAGAGGGGGAACCGATTACAAGGATCTACATATAACCCCCTCCCCGGGGGGGTGGACACTAGTAAAGTGGGTGAAGGGAGATGTTGGACAGTGGAAGATATGATAAAATAATAATAATTTATAAATTATCAAGGAACCATGAAGGAGGGCGGAACGGGTATGGAGGGGGAAAAATGAGGAGTTGATACCAAGGGCTCAAGTGAAGAGCAAATGTTTTGAGGATGATGAGGGCAACAAATGTGCAAATGTGCTGGACACAATGGATGGATGGATGGAATGTGGTAAGAGTTGTATGAGCTCCCAATAAAATGATTTAAATTTTAAAAAGAAAAAAAATAAACCCTTGGGTTTTTACTAGTTTATTAGCAGTTCCATTTTATTTTCACTAGTTCAAGAGTCTAACTTGTGACTGAGAAGACTACAGTTCTAATTGAGTTATGGATTTTTATAATATATGTAAGAGCTCCCAATAAATGATTAATTAAGAAAAAGAAAAAAATCCTCTGATTTGATTATTTGCTGCTGTCTTCCAGTGTTGGTGTTCCGTTTGCTAAAGTTGCTTTTTTGGGGGGGAAAAATGATGTTTTGGGTGCAGGTTTACACAATAATAAATTAAGTTCCCATTTGATGATTTCTATTTAACTTGTTCAGTGAAATTAGTTAAAATTTTCACAATGTATAAACCTCTTTAACTGCGTCCTAGTTCTTCTGTTTACAGGACTCTTTAAGTTCCCTGCCCCCTTGTCCTTTCATGTTGACCTTGTGGTTTCATGCAGGGTTTTTTGTTTTTTTCAAGAAGAGTACCCTATTTACAGATGATATGCTTTCTTTTTTTATTTTCAATATGCTTTATTTTAATGTGTCATTCATTTATTTCACTAAAGGGTGATCTCAAAGTGTAAAGAGTATCTCATGGAGTCTTTTGACCTTAACTGACCCAATAAATCTGGACATTGTAGGACATCGAGCTCAGTTTTATATATTTTGGGCCTTCTCTTAGGGTTCATCTGCTGTGGCCCTGGTCAGAATGGTTGGTAGTGATTGCTGGGAACCATCTAGTTATTCTGGTCTCCGGATGGACTGGGCTCTGATTCGTGTAGACCAGGGGTCCTCAAACTACGGCCCGCAGGCCACTTATCCGGGCCCGCTGGGTGTTTTTGCCCGGTTTGTTTTTTACTTCAAAATAAGATATGTGCAGTGTGCATAGGCATTTGTTCATAGTTTTTTTTTTTTTAAACTATAGTCCGGCCCTCCAACGGGTCTGAGGGACAGTGAATTGGCTCCCTGTTTAAAAAGTTTGAGGACCCCTGGTGTAGACTGTTAGCCTGGTAGGCTAATTTCTTCTCTGAGATCTTGGTTCCCTTCATTCTTTTGTTTCTGATGAGTAGAGACCAATGTTTATGTCTTAGTGGGTGCTGTCGGCTACGCCTTAGACTGATAACCACAAGGACAGTGGTTTGAATCTATCCATGGAGTGGATGGCTTTTATTACATATGGCTGCTTATATGCTTTTGAGATCCCAGACACTGCTCACCACACTAGGGTGCAGAACATGGATGGTGTGAACTCCATTGTACCAGCAAAGTAAGATAAATTGTTCATGAAAGGCTCTTAAGCCTTCAAACCTAGAAAACCAGTCTTGTCAGATGTTTAGTTATACCTAAGAAATATCTATAAATGTGTTGTCTGCACATATGTGCCTGCACAAACATTTCTTATGTATATGTACGTGTAGATATTTGTCTCTGTGCACACGTATGTGTACATAAACTTGTGACTACCTGTGTATCTATGTGCCTTTACATACTCAATTTGGGGCCATAGTTGATCTTGTTGCCAAATTTTGTATGTTGTATTCTTTAATACACGCATCCTCTTATCATGAGAACTTCTTAGTGGCATGGTTTACTTTGGCCAAGTTGTGCTCACTAGCCCTACATTCTATGATACTCCGTTTCCCATCACCCAAAATAACGAGCTCCCATCTAGTGCATCATAACCCCTCCCCTCCCTGTGAGCCATTGTTCTCTCTGAATGTTGTTCTTGTAAAAGTGAAACCACAAAGTAATTGCTCGCTTAGCATTAGGTAGGAGATGCCTTTTTTCTCCAAATGCGTCTCACCTAACCCTTCATTAGTTCCACATCGAAATACACACTGTTTTCTTGGGCATTTATATAGGAGTTTCAGAAATCACTTGGAGCCAAGCATTCTGTCTATGACACCACTCACCGGACTGGACGCTCCTTGAAGGAGAAAACCTCCCTGGCTGATGACAACCTGAAACTAGATGACATGTTGAGTGAACTCAGAGATAAATGGGATACGATATGTGGGAAATCTGTGGAAAGGTAAAGTATTCTTTAGGGTTACAAATGATTATAGTTTTGGTTGGGTTACAATTCAAGGCTATTTGTGGGCATTTCAAGTGTACAACAGTGGTACTATTGAATCCAGGTATGCTTTGGGAATCTTAAATGCTTCCGCTTTGCCTGAAAAACTTCTCATCTTTAAGACTTCAGTCGCACAACACCCCCCACACCCACCCCAAGAAGACTCGGCTTTCCATAATTTATTTTTAACTACTCTTTACAGTCAAAATTATCGTCCCCAAGACTTCTGTCATCTCTCACCCTTACTACAGCAACTGCCAGGGCAGTAGGGACTGGCCTCCCCAAGCCCAGTTTTCACCCCCTTTACAGTTGCTGCGTAACAATGGGATGTTGTCATTTCCCTGCTTCTCATCCTGGACTGCGGGTGTGAAGTAAAGTACAAGCCCTTGGACTTGGCAGACACAGAGCTCCTGGCCTGGCCCTTGATTCCCTTTAGCCTCAGCTTACCCCTTTCTAGTTTTCTCCTTTCTCATCACACTTCAACCAGGAAGGCCCAAGATTTATTTCAACTATGTAAGAACTACTGTATTAGTTGAAGAGTATGGTAATCATTTATTTTGTAAGAATGAAGACCAACCACTCCCAAGGAGTTGGAGATTGAAGAAGTCCCAACGGTCCCAACTCTGGCAAGATGCCAGAGTGCTCCATTTCCCCCTGCTCGTCCTTGAGGACATTGCTTTCTGCTTCTGGCTGCTGCAAGCGGTTGCAGTTCCCTACAGAACGTAGGAGAGTCTGAGGAGAGGGCTCACATAGTGGGGTGATGTACGGTCCAAAATCCAAAGGCCAGGCAAGGGTGAGCCAGATGCTGGGGCCAGAGCATGTGCTCCACTCCTGGCTCTTACTGGTGATGAGATCACACACCGTGCTTCTCAGGGGGCTCATTTTATAGGCAGTGGGATGGCCTTACAGGGAATCCTGCTCACAATTACAGGTGAATCCTATCAGTGTCTGCCCCCACCTTCTTAGCTGACCCATGCAAGGAAAGGTTGTTTGGTGGGAGTTACATGGTTTAATAAAATTTCAGCCCAATAATCTGTCCTCCACCCGTGGACTATATCTTATTCATGCACATAAGACCTGAGACCTCTGGCAGGATGTTTTCAGTAGACATTGGCCTTCCGCTAATCTTAGCCCAGGTTTTCTTTCCCAGCCCACTCCAGAAACAGCTTTTTCCTACTCAGCTGTAATATCTCATTCCTTACATCTAGTAGAAGTAATAGGCACTAAGTTAACCATTGAACAAAGAGTGTGTGGTCAAATTCACACTCTCTACTATGGTTAATCTCAGCCCATTCCTGTTTGTGAGCAGATACTGTCCTCCCCAATGGGACTAGAGCCACAGGCGTATGAAATCCAGAATTATATCACATAAGGAATTATGGCTGGAATTTATTTATTTAGTGTATTAATATTAAACTAATATAGCTTAAAGAGTTCAAGATAGTATCTTATAAACTTTATGTTCTCAAACTTTTCATTTATCCTTGCTCTCATCCCTGTTGTCAGAATCAAAATTAAGTACATTATTATGTTCAGTTCAAGGAAACTACTCAGTTAAGAAAAAAAAAAGACTTCTTTAGTTTCAAAAGGATACATGCTAAGTAATTTCATTTACATGACATTCTCAAAAAGGCAAAATTACAATGATTGAAACAGATTAGTGGATGGCCGGGGATTAGAGCTATGGAGAGAAAGGGTTATTATGTGTGACTACAAATGAGTGGATGGCCGGGGGTTAGAGCTATGGAGAGAGAGGGTTATTATGTGTGACTACAAGAGATAACATGAGAGAGATTTGGGGGAATAATGGCCTTCAATTGTGATGATAGTTACATGATTCTATACATGTATCCAAATCCATAGACCTGGATGCCAACACACTCTCAATTTTACTGTCTAATAATTTTTAAAATAATAGTAATTTAGAACTTCTTTTTGTTAGTTAAAAGGCATACTTCAATTAAGATACTGAAGAGTCAATAATTCAGAGAAGTGTTTATAAAGGTATTTTTTAATTGGTGCCAAATATTGAAGCAGTAGAAGAAAAAGTTTTAAGAAAAGTTAAGTTTTGCTATTTTCTAAGAAAAACAAAGAAATAGCAGTGATTGTCAATATATTGTTTTCCCTTGTGAGCCTTATTCAACCTCCAAAGATGAATTTTAGATACTAGGGTGTGTATGCAAGTGACTTTTTGATGCCTAAATTCATTCCCCCCCACCCTCACCCCCGGCCCCCAGACAAAACAAACTGGAAGAAGCCCTGTTATTTTCTGGACAATTCACCGATGCCCTGCAGGCCCTCATTGACTGGCTGTACAGAGTTGAACCCCAGCTGGCCGAAGATCAGCCTGTCCATGGAGACATTGATTTAGTGATGAATCTGATCGATAACCACAAGGTATTGTTATTTGGGACATTTTGTTTTAGCTATGACTTGATTATCCTCAATAGAAAGGTAAACCTAACCACCTCATTTAGCCTTTTAAAATCAAAACAATGCATATATATCCTACTGCCTGACCATCTTTAATGTTGAAATAATAGTAAAGTTGAGCAGAATCAGAAACCTTTTTAAAATAAAAGGGAAAATTCACTTTGTGAAACAATTCAACTTTTAGTGACTAGACTTAAAGCCTTTTTTAGAACTTGGAAAGTAATTCCATTCTCTACTGCTCCGGAACTTATTTCGAGAGTGTTTTACTATGCCATGCAATTTATTTAAATACAAGTGGGTAGATGTGATCATAGGCTATGGGGGTCATGATCAGCAGCTTGTCTGTTTTGGAAACTGTCTGAATCCGGTTCCTGGTTTGTAGCAGTTCATGAGAAAGCAGCAGGTGCTCCGAGGACTTTGATTATTAGCTTCTTTTCTAAGAACACTGGTTTCTGTGCCATCTGTTAATATGCATGTTAAACTGTTGGGCAAATCAAAAGCAATATTCAAGACATCATGCTGGCACTGAATGGAAGGTCCTAAATTATCATCAAATGATGTAATAGAACAACCTTGGAGAAAAACATGAAGCATGGTGCTAAAGCAAAATAGTTTATCAGAGTTAGTTTATATTTAGATCGGGGTACTTTATAGTACCCTCCTGGAATTCCTGCTGTGTTTCTCCACTCTAATTTTTGAGTTCAGAAAATGTATTTTAATTTTAAATATTTTTTCGATTGTGCTATTTTGATCCTACTGATTTTTCAATCTCCTGTTGCATATGTCTCCCATCTATTTTAAAGCTCTATTCCCTTGTTATTCTCATTTAAAAAAAAAAAGAATATGTTCCATTTAGATAGTAACAGAAAATAAAACAATCAGTAAAGAGCACTGATCAGGCCCACTAATATTAAAAATTACTGTGCTTATAGCAAAGCAATTTTTGGTGCATGATTAATATAAACATTTCCAACTCCTTGGCATTTGTTCAATGAGTAATGAATAGTGTAATGTTTCTTTTTACATAAATACCATCTTTATAAGTTCACTGTCTAAATATTTACTACCCTAGACACTCACCAGATTTTTAAAATATATTCAAGGTCATCAAAACGGAATTAATCATTCAGCATTACTAATACAATTGGAAGGTTCAAGCAGACGCTTACGTATACAAAGTTCATTGGAAAGTCTACTCCCGTCTATTGGATTAGTCACAGTGACTCTCGATGCTGTTTCTTGTGTGGGTGTTTGTGTATCTGCAGACACAACTAATTTAACACTGTTAAGAATGATGTCAGTCAGGGAATTCTAGCACACTAGGTTTGGAGGGTTTTTGCTTGACTGACTTTTGTAAATGCCTGAAGTATCAATGTAGAAACAGCCCAAATTAGATGTGCTTAGTGAATACTCATTTGCGGGGTTTTTTTTTGTTTTTTAGAAAAATAAGTTAATTTTATTCTTCACAGTGGATTGTTTGAAAGAACTGGTTTCACATACAGACTTAGAGATCAGAAATGAAATATCCTGGCCTCCCTTTTGGATTAAGTCTGTGGGCAAAAGAAACCAGCTTAACTCTTGGCACTTCAAAGTTTATGCATAACACACAGAAGATAAGGGAGACGTGGCAAAAGCCTCCCTTCCACAGTACCAGAAAGGGAGGTGAGCCTCTAAGTGTGACACTGTGGGATTGTGCCCAGGGTTCTGCGAAAGACAAAGGGTAGGTTATGAGGCAAAAGGACCATGGCCCCATGGACTTCTCTTTTGTTACCTTTAAGAAAGCCAACACCATGTTCCAGGAGTGTTCCGTCACCTGTCTGTGCCTTAGATAGTTCTACTAATTAAAAGTACCGTGCAGCTAACATGCCCCAGACAAATCAATAATTTGAGAGAAAATCAAACTTGGTGCTAAAAGTCATAGAGGAGTTTAATGTGTGTATTTGTGTGTGATTTAAATAAAGGATGCTGGCCACACCAGCATTTAAATCTAACTTCCCATTTAAAATATGAAGTTTATCATAGTTTGGCCCTTCATGAAAATAGTACAAAACCTTATAAATTGGTACCAGACTATATTCTTGGCGATGCTCAAATAGGAGCACAGCGTCACGTCAGATCTTCTGAAGATTTTGCACATAAAAAGTCCTGGTGCGTCTAGAAGTCTGTGCACAAGGCTACATCTCTTACTGGCTTGGTTTTGTTCTTGAAAACTCACTGGGAGAGTATGGTCCTTTTAGGTCTTCCAGAAGGAGTTGGGGAAGAGGACCAGCAGCGTGCAGGCCCTGAAGCGCTCTGCCCGAGAGCTCGTCGAGGGGAGTCGCGATGACGCCTCGTGGGTCAAGGTCCAGATGCAGGAGCTGAGCACCCGATGGGAGACTGTGTGTGCACTGTCGGTATCAAAGCAAACCCGCCTGGAAGCGGCTCTGAGCCAGGTAAGAACTCCGTGAATTGTAGCTGTGTGTCAGGAGCCTAAAGTAGCAAAGCCCCAACAAGGACTACTGCAATCAGGAACTATGATGCTGTCAGAAATGGTAAAGCCTCTCATTCCTCATCCAGGACAGTGAGGGAGGAGGAGGGGAGAACAGGATTCCCCTGAGGTCTAGCATCCTTGTCTTGGGTCCTCCCTGCTTAAGAATGTCAGCTCCCGAAACTGGGAGATTTCTGATGGTTGCTTCAGAAGTGTGGCTTGAGCGATTTTTCGACCTGAAAGGATGATAGGCTGCCAGTCACCCTCTAAGGTCAGCTTGTTCAAGTGATGAGTTAGTCTTCCTGTCGGCCCTTTTGCTACCTTGGACATTCTCTTCGAGTTATGAAGTGCAGTTCTGCGGGTAATGGGTGTGTGTGTTAATGCATATAATGGCATCCCAGCACCATCCAAATGATTACGCTCACAGTGACTAGCTATCAGGTTAGTGGTTCAAATCCACCCAGATGATCCACAGAAGAAAGACCTGGCTGTCTACATCAGAAAGTTTATAGCCATTGGAAACTCTCATGAGCATACTTATACTTTAGAACACAGGAGTCAAACCGGTAGTTTTTGCTTCGGTTTTAATATGTACAAGTAGTCCATTTTTATTTGAATGTCTGTGCAGCTGTGTAGTTTTTGCTAACAGTGTATTTATGGCTCCTTTTTTTTTGGTGTGTGTGTGTATACTGTTAGGCAGAGGAATTTCACTCGGTGGTGCATGCCCTCCTGGAGTGGCTGGCTGAGGCGGAACAAACCCTCCGTTTCCATGGTGTTCTCCCAGATGATGAAGATGCTCTTCGGACGCTCATCGATCAGCATAGAGTGAGTCATGCAAACGATACTTAGTCAAACTATTTGAGAAGTTTAGAGAAAGTAGGAAAGATAGAATCCTGCTTGAAAATACCAGCTGCATGGCTATCTTCCTTTCCATACTACATCCTTTCCAGATGTAGTGAAAGATCCTGGCACGTTTGAGGGCTCATCTGTATTCTCCTTGTGTGTATGCGTGTGTCCCGTACACCTGCCCGTGTGGATTAAAAGCTTTTCTTTTTCTGCTGGCTTTATAAGGAAGGTTATCCTAAAATTAGTCACTCTTTCCTATCTCTAGGAAGCACATGGAGTTTTCCAAGGAGTTGTTTGGCATCTGAACAAAACTAATCTGTATTGTTGTGCTTCCATGTGAATTTCAAACACATAATGTCCTTAGTGAGCAGTTTGGTGTTTATAACATTATGCCAGTAGAATTGTAAGTGAATAATTTTGACCTTTGTAAACCAGACAGGCAAATAACTAACCAGTCTTTGAATTTAAATTTTATTCATTTGCTTCTGTTTTTAACTTACGAGCCCTCTTAAGTCTGTTTTAGAAGTAACCTGTAGTATATCTCACAACTTTAAAAACAGGCGAATACAAATCAATGCACTGTTGAATAACTAGTCAAGTGAAAATCCGGCCACTGGGCTTTCCTGTGGCAATACACAGAACTTAGCCAAACCCTGAAGAAGAGTGGGCCAGAGGCCTCTCAACAGATGTTTTTTAACCTTTGACTCTTAAGTCAGGAATTTGCCAGGCTAACACTGAAGGTCTTGCTGATGGCAGCATTTCCTATCAACATTCAGAGATTTGTTTGACACCACCCAATAGCCCTTTCTGCCAGGGTCAAGTTGGACGTGAGCATTATTTCCAAGGTAGCCTGGATTGCATCATCTCTAGAGGCTGATTTGAATTAATATCCTCCCTCGGTGATGGGCTGCTGGACCTGTCACAATGAAATACGGCCTTGTTAATAATGGTGAGGCAACCGTGCACAGCATTATCTGGAGCAATGAAATGCTCCAAATGTACAGAGAAGAAAATGACATCAACATGATTATCACCTCAAGGTTCACCAACAGTTTGAAAATACACCTCACACTACATTGCTGTGGACTGACCTCTGCCAACATTACTGTGGAGTCACATTAATAGACTTAGGCCTGAGTTCCAGCGTAGGGATAAGAATGAGCTAGGTATCCCTGAGACCACCTCTGCCATCCTATAGAGAGGGGCAAGGCTGTGCCAAACACCCCCGCCTCCCCACACCCCACCTTGCACCCTCCCTCCCTCTGGGTCTCTGTATAACCAAGAAAAGCCAGGAAGCAGGTACTCAGAGCAGAGGTAGTGGTCTTTACAAGCAATTCAAACATATGTCTAAGGAACATAAAATTACATGTAATTTTATAAAGAGCTTCTTAGTAATAATATTGTGCGTTGTTATTCTTTGTCATTTCCTGCACTTCCCATTCACTAATAAGAGGAAAAAACAGAGCATTCCATTTAATTTCGCAGTGCCAGGACTTTGCAGTATAATCCAATCATTGGAAATGGCACGTGTTCCCACGTGAGTACAAAGCAGTGAGGTAACACTCAAGACTGGGAAGAGCACAAGGAAAAGTGGGGAGTCGATAGAGGAGCCCAGGGGAAACCCAAAAAAACAAAACAAAATCACTGTGAAAAGCCAAGTGATGGTAGCAGCCTACACTTTGAGCAAACCATGGCCACAGTGCACATGTGCAAACGAGCAGGCTGAGAAGCTCTCATTGTGCCGGGCAACGTGTTGAGTAGTTCTTGTAGTGCAAGACTGCTAAAGGTGGGAGTGTCGGGGACGTTGGGAAATTCTCTAGGAGGTTTGGGAGGCCTGTCACATTTTCCGGGGGAAAAGTCTTCATTTGAGAAATCCCATTTTTGGAGCTCCGTGGCATGTCTGTCTATGGAAACTGTTATGTTGGTGGAGCGCGCCATGGTGGAGGTGAGGCATTAGAACAAGCTCCCCGTGCAAGACTGCCCGCGCCCCATCCAAAGCAGACTCTGCTCCTCCTGCTTCTCCAGGAGCCTGCCAGGAGCTCATCACAGCAGAGGAGGGCGTGGCATCCTAGCCTTCTGAAGAGACGTTTCTGACGCAGGCTGGCTTGCTCCCTGGGCCACTTTCTCCAGGGCCTCTCTGCCTCTTTCCTGCTGGGACACTCTGAGCTTTTCCCTCCCGCACCAGCAACCATTTTATACCTCCTCGCCCAGCTCGCTTTCCAGCCCGTATGCCTGTCTTTCCTGGCCAAGTCTGTGTTGTTTCAAATAACAACCTTCTTCTCTTCTCTTGTTAGAATCTTTGTTTTTTTCTTTTCCTCTTGGCAGCCGTTTCTATTGCTATCTGCTGCCTCTCCCAAAGTTATGAATTCCTAATCATCATTAATGATGTAAATATAATATATCTCAATGTAGCAGAGTGTGTTTTATTTAAAAATAATGTTTGGTGTGCTTTGTAAAGCATGAGATAGTATCTTGTGCTTGTATTTTAAAATAACTTAGAAGGTATTTCATGTCTGACTCCTTTCCCTTCTTGAGTTCCCCGGTCATTGGATTATTTCCCACCGTGAAGAAACAAGTCACGCTTCTTGTTGATTTGTTTAACTCTGACAGTCAGATGAGCGTCAGTGGAGTTTTGGTTTCAGCCCGGGAAGGCAGCTAACTCAGGTCTTTGTTTCTGCTGTAGGAATTCATGAAGAAACTGGAAGCAAAAAGAGCCGAACTAAATAAAGCCACCAGTATGGGAGATGCTGTTTTGGCCATCTGCCACCCGGACTCCATCACCACCATTAAGCACTGGATAACCATCATCCGGGCCAGGTTTGAGGAGGTCAGGAGGTCTCAGATAATCTTTAGTGGGGTCATCGCTCTGAGAGTTGGGAGGGAGGGTGGGGAGCTTCAGCAAGGGAAATGGGAAAATGAGGCCATGCCAGCGACAAAGCTGCTCTTTGAAACACCCCTCTTGTGATCATTTGGGCCCCTGGTGGCGCAGTGACGAAGCACTCCGCTGCAAGCCAAAAGGGTGACTTCACCGCAGCACCAGGTGCTACTGGGAAATGACCGTCCGCTTCCGTGAGGATGACAGTGTGGGAAACTCTCTGAGTTTGTTCCACCTGTCCCATGGACCCACCATGAGTCAGAATTGACCCAGCGATAATGGGTTCAGTTTTTGGTTTGCGATTGGCTTAAAAATAATAATAGTAGTAGTAGGAATCCTCATGCAGCATCGACACACGAAAAGGCCAAGCTCTGGCTCACTGTGTAATATTTGCACAGTCCACTTTGTGTTGGCAGAATAATCTAGCATTGGCTAGTGTTTCGGAAAAGTACATGAACTCTGTAGTTGAGAGCTTAGCCGTTTCCGTTTCCACTCTGTGCTGCCTGGTTGGTGCTTCAGAGAACACGTGTTTGAACTTGGAGGAGACCACCAAAGGAAGCCTGGGGGACCAGGTGTACATGCCGAGACTTCTGAAGCTGACAGAGGTCGTGGAGGGCTCTCCTGTCCTCCACAAGCTGGGCCTCGGCGCCCACGACAGGATCCACAGAGGCTGGGAGAACCATAAGTCACACCCAGGAGGACCCTAATGGACATTTCAGAATGTGCGCACTGCAGATCAGTGAAACGGTTCATCAAGGTGGAAGCAAGTCAGGGGCATTTCTGTTTCTCCAACAGGTGCTGGCCTGGGCGAAGCAGCATCAGCAGAGATTGGCAAGTGCACTGGCAGGACTGATAGCTCAGCAGGAGCTGTTGGAAGCTCTGCTGGCTTGGCTGCAGTGGGCTGAAACCACACTAAGTGAGAAGGATAAAGAAGTCATCCCCCAGGAGATTGAGGAGGTGAAAGCCCTCATTGCAGAGCACCAGGTGAGATGCGCAGAGCCTTAGCCCTGTTAGCCGCCTGCTCAGACTCTCTCCCTCCTTTCACTGCCGTAGTTCCCCAGAGATCACGTTGTGCTCGTGGGCTTCCCTTCCTGTTAAATAGAACTCCTTACAGTTGGGTTTCCAATTCTGCTGCTGCCCGGGATGGCTCTCGTTATGGTTACTTAATCTTGGTGGTCTCTCTCTCTATTCCTTTTTTGGGGTCTCATCCATAGCCAGGGCTTCAGCTGGCACCTTGTGTTATTGTTCCATCTTTGCACATTCGTCATCCCCTAAGATGTCCACCAACACTAAAAATTCTAAAAGGGGAACCTACCCTGCATCTCAGCACCTCACCCACCTAGCCTACCCTTAATCTCTGCAAGGCTGGACATCACCCTAGCTGTGATTTCCGTGTCCCCTTGGTTGTTTGGTGGACATCTGGAGGAGCCTCATTGGAATGTTTGACGTGGGCCCAGCTGGCTGACACAGGTAGCACTGCTTTTCTTTTAATGGAACCGTGAGGTGGCCATTTGGTCTGTAGGGGCTCTGACGTGGCTCAGGGTGTGTTCTCTTGGATCAGGAGCTTAAAGGGACCGGTGCTCTCTGAGGGACAGGTATTCCAAGAGCAGGTTACCTCACCTTTCAGCGGTGTGCCTCCTCAGCCCCCTCCACTGCAGTCTGCCTTCCCTCAGCTTTCCCCACACGCGCCAGATCTAGGGAAGCCTCACCCATGGCGGTCAGCCTGAGAGGATGAAGGAAGGAATGATGAGATGCTTTAAACTCTTTCATTCGATAGCCAATAATCTTGAGCCTTGACATTACCTTACGCTTTGTGGCATGGCTTCTCTGTTAATAGATGTATTTAGAATCTACTCGCATCTAATGTGGATGATTTATGCCTGTATCTATCAGAACTGTCTTAAATTTTATCTCAGGTATCTAGGTGAAATGTCCCACACGACGGATCAAGCCAGCTAACTAGTTAACTGTACAGTCAAAGGGTCCCGTGCAAGAAGAACCCTGGAAGCTTCCATTTGATCGATGTTGTTGGCCCAGCTGCCCCATGCCTGGTCTATCAGAGCACAGCCAATTATTATAGTTTGTTTAAACTGACTCTCTTTCCCAGTTCCAGCATTTCGTTGGATGATTTTCAACTCTTCTCAGAGATAGTAGCACAGTTCCCTTATCCTTTGGTGCTTCGTTCATTTCTCCCAGTGGTTTTCTCTCACATACTTTTTTAAATTAAATTTTTTAAAATAGTTTTATTAGGGGCTCATACAACTCTTAGCACAACCCATACATACATCAGTTGTGTAAAGCATATTTGCATATTCATTGCCCTCATCATTCTCAAAGCACTTGCTCTCCACTTAAGCCCCTGGCATCAGCTCCTCATTTTTCCCCTCCCTCCCCGCTCCCCCCTCCCTCCTGAGCCCATGATAATATATAAATTGTTTATTTTGTCATACCTTGCCCTGTCCGACGTCTCCCTTCACCCACTTTTCTGTTGTCCGTCCCCTGGGGAGAGAGGAGGTCACATATAGATCCTTGTAATCGGTTCCCTCTTTCCAACCCACTCTCCCTCTACCCTCCCAGTATCGCCACTCACACCACTGGTCCTGAAGGGATCATCTGCCCTGGATTCCCTGTGTTTCCAGTTCCTATCTGTACCAGTCCTATCTGTACCAGTGTACAGCCTCTGGTCTAGCCAGACTTGCAAGGTAGAATTGGGATCATGACAGTGGGGGGCGGAGGAAGCATTTAGGAACTAGAGGAAAGTTGTATTTTTCATCGTTGCTATATCGCACCCTGTCTGGCTCATCTCCTCCCCGAGACCCCTCTGCAAGGGGATCTCCAGTGGCCTACAAATGACGGAAAGCATCTCTTCCATTTCAGACCTTCATGGAGGAAATGACCCGGAAGCAGCCTGATGTCGACAAAGTGACCAAGACCTATAAGAGGAGGACAGCAGACCCTCCCTCTGTACAGTCCCATATTCCTGTCCTGGACAAGGGCCGCGCAGGAAGTACGCAGAGACCCGTTTCTATAAAACGAAGATGGTTAGGCAAAGGAGCTGGTTCTCTTCTATGTAAAATTATCGCTAAACTCTTGGTGTGGTTGGGGGCTTCTCCATAGCTGTGCATCACAGAAGGTATTCTGGAAGGAATGCCGGGGCCCAAGAATTGCAGCAACTTGGTTAAAGGTTGTCAAGAGAAGCACACCCAGGCCTCTGTGTATGACTCCATTTGCTCAAAGTGTTTCGTTCAAATTAGGTAGGAGAAACTGGAAACCTTATCATCAACAATAGCAGAAATCACCAACCCTGTTGAACTGTCTCGTTTCTGTTCCATGAACGGGACAAAGCAAAATGAGTTCGTGAGCCCAACTGTTCAGTAGCAGCCAGCAACGTGATAGTTTGCTCATGTTTGAGCAGTGGGATGACAAGCTCCATTTACTTACTTTTCTGCCCACCGTGACCCAAACCAAAAGGGGAAAAAACAAACCAAAAAAACCAACTTCCATGTATTGAGTAGATTCTGACTCATCGCACCCTCACAGGACAAAGTAGAACTGCCACATCTATATATCTGTTTCCAAGGCTGTCATCTTGATGGAAGCAGACTGCCAACAGCTTTCTCTGAAGGAGAGGCTGTGGGTTCACACCAGAGGCTTTGGGTTGGCAGCTGAGTGCTTTAACCACTGCACCACCTGGGCTTCACTTTGACCCAGAGAAATAACATGAAGGATAATAATAATCATTTGTAGAAGATTTAGCAAAAGTAAAATTTGTATCGTACATTTTATGTTTCTGAATGGTGCTTTAATTTAAAAAAAAATTTTTTGTGAGTCATTTCAGACCCAATACACAAAAATCAGGGTGACAAAGTGATCGATAACAGCAGTCAGAATCCCTGTTGTCCCCAACCCAGTGAGGGAACAGCCTGTGGCAGGCTCCTTAAACTCCCCGAGCGTCAGTGTCCTAATCCAGGAAAGAGGACACCATAATCTAATTGGACTGTTGTGAGGATTCAAGGGCAAATGCCTGTGAAGTGCTGAGCAGACTTCCTGGCATATAGTGACTAGAGGCAGTCCCTGGTTTACAGCTTTACAGGTTCTGACCCTTTAACGTTTCATAAGTTCTCCCTCACTTCGAAACGACCGAAACACCCACTACCGGCGATACATTCTTCACCACTGTCACCGTCACAGCTGCGCATGCAGCTTTCAAATCATTGAAAAGACTTTGAGACGTTTTTCCTTTTCTTTTTGGGGGCACGAAAGGTAAAACACTGCGTGCTCCTATTCCAGCCGACGTGCACATTCTAAAGACACAGCCGGGAGCGGATCTCATTTGTTACCCAGGCATTGCCTGCAGTCAGTAAATTTTAGCTATTAAGATTTAGAAATAGCCCTCATCTGGGAGTTGGGAGTTCTAGGCAAATTCCAGCTTAGACACTTCACTTTCTTTAGGCCTTAGGTCAGTAACTTTTCTAAACTTTACTTAGCCATGCGATTAGATGAAATTGTGTCGAAGTAGCTATGGTGGTGCAAGGTTAGAGAAACTTGTGAAAAATAGCAAGAAGATTTTAATTAGTGCATTTGGGTGTGAGGCAATGCGCAGGAAGCTCGTTGCTCTCAGGGCAGAGATGGTTTGGGGGAAGCCTGGGTCCTGCGGGTGCCCTCCCCTATTTGCATATCTGGGAATGGTACACTAGCCTGCTGTCACTCATGACTGTGCCGTGCTTCCGGCGCTCACCTCCTCCCCCTTTCCAGTCGGTCCTCTAAACGTGGGCGCAGCTGTAGCTGATGGCAAATGCCTCCCTTCCCCGGGAGAGTGCTTTAAGCGTCTCTTTGCAAAGAGGAAGATGACCCAAGAGTCCCTTATAACTGAAATGGCAGGAATGCTCACCTAGGAAATGATTTCAGCATGAATTTTGGGCGAGAACATCATAGTATTGAAATACCCCTTTTAGGATATATTTCTACATCTAGAAGCAGACTGATCCTTAATAAGTAAAGCACATTTGGACCTTGACATTAATGCGTCATCAAAATTAGGATTTGCCACTTGTAATTTTAAATGATTAGTTGCTCAGTCCTAGCAAGGCAGAGCAAAAGCCAAGCCTGCCCGTCATCTAGGTCTCTGTGAACATGCCACCTATTTTCACAGGAAAACGCTTCCCAGCATCCAACTTGTATCCCTCTGGAGCCCAGACACAAATAGAAACCAAGAACCCCAGGGCAAACCTCCTGGTGAGCAAGTGGCAGCAGGTGTGGCTGCTCGCGCTGGAAAGGAGACGGAAGCTCAACGATGCTTTGGACAGACTGGAAGAGGTGAGAAAACTCATGCATTCTCCACATGCTCCTTGCCCCCATGCCTCATAACACATGGCCCAGATTGAATTCTCTGACATCTCTTAGGTAAACACTGGCTATGTGGTTGTATGCTCTGCTAATATTGAAAGTCTGCGTCTCTGGTGACGAGCTGACTTGTGAACCTTTGAGGATGGAGAACCAATAAAGTGCAGGGGAATAGGTACACAAGCAGATGCCGGTTGGTTGGTAGGAAAGGTCAAACTCGATAGGTGCTTGCTGGGAAATATCATCCTTTATAAGGTAGCTCTGACATGCCTCCTCGATTTGAGATGGAGCGTTTCAGATTCCTGAAGTGGAAAATTTCCAGATGTCTAGGAGTGAAGAGCTGACTCACAGCAACAGGGGTTGGGGGGCACAAGGGTTTAGGGCGTGAGTGCTGGCCTTTGTGGCTAGGCCCCTCTGGTGATGTGAGCATTATCGAAAGCTTTCACTTTGGTTGATTTTTGTTGTTTCTTCTATTTGTAAAGACAATTCAGTGATAGTAGTGTAATATGCTTTATGGAAAAACATGTTTTTCTGTAACAACCTTTATAGAAAAAAGTTTCTGAGTCCCCTGTTCAAGTGTAGGCCTTTTTTTGGAGGTGAGGAATAGGTGAGCTTTACCTGAAGGATCCTTAAAAGTTACTTGGCTAGTAGAGAATCAGACATCATTTGAGCACAGCATTAACTCAACCAAAACATATCTCTTGATCTCGTTCTTTTTAGCTGAGGGAATTTGCTAACTTTGACTTTGATATCTGGCGCAAAAAATACATGCGGTGGATGAATCACAAGAAGTCGCGAGTGATGGACTTCTTCAGGAGGATTGATAAAGATCAGGATGGGAAAATAACCCGGCAAGAGTTTATTGACGGAATTCTTTCCTCAAGTAAGTTCCAAGACAGATGACTAATTTTTAAAGACAATAAGCACCGCTTAAAATTGTATGACTGGTCAGCCTGGGCTGCTAGTAAAACTGCCTTTCCTTGGCTGTTAAGTCTCCCTGCCCTTTGACAAACAAGAAAAAAGCCCTTGGTCAGATTGGTGGCTTGGGAGTCCAGAGCACCTGGTGATTGTGTAACTGTGGACATGGGCCCTCCCCCCAGCTCATCTGTGCCTGCCTTAGTATAACCAAGTTAATCGTGTTGGATTCAAAATAGTTCATTTTGCCAATAGATGAATGGAAACAGAATCTTTGTTTCCTTTATGTTTTGAGTTACCACTCTGATAGAACAATCTCATTAATATGATATGAACACTCTCAGAATTCTTAAGGTAGGGGCCACCTCCGTGTTTTCAGTGGGTGTGCTTTCCCTGGCCGATGTTACTGAATGCCACGCTCACACCCAGGCACCTTCACAGAAGTGAGGCCTTCCATAAAGCAGCCGGTGTGCCATCTGAGATCACTAATGTTAGCCGTGTCATCGGGTCACCGTGACTGTAGTTAGAGATCCGTGGGGGCCACATTTGTTTGCAATGCTGTCGAGTCATTGTTTTAAGGGTGTTCGTGGGTGTGATCATCATGAGCAGTCGAGGGTGTCTCGGGCAGAACAAGCAGTCACCACCCTCCTCTCCTAACTCCGATGGTGAAACTCTTGCAGAGTTCCCCACCAGCCGCCTGGAGATGAGTGCAGTTGCCGACATCTTTGACAGAGATGGCGACGGCTACATCGACTACTATGAATTTGTAGCAGCCCTTCACCCGAACAAGGATGCCTATAAACCCGTCACTGACGCTGACAAAATTGAAGACGAGGTACTCTTCATCGCTCCCCAGCCTACAGGATCGATGGGGTGCTCTGCTAGGATACAAGATCATAAGCGTTTCTCAGTGTCTTAAGGGTTCTGCTCCGGACTGTTTACCTGGAAGTGAATATTTCCTCCTTGTCGTTGGCAGGTGACACGGCAGGTGGCTAAGTGTAAATGTGCAAAACGATTTCAAGTGGAACAGATTGGAGATAACAAATACAGGGTAGGTTTGCAAAGCAATCCGGTGATTCTTATAAAGAATATGAGTTAAAGAAAGGAAAAGAAAAAAAAGATTATGAGTTAAATTTTTTGCACATAATTTTTACCTGAGTTGTGTTCGAGGAATTCCATTTGTTTACTTTTACATCAGAACACAGTTTAATGGAACAAGGGAGCTTCAAAAAGATTATGGAAAAAATTCCTTTATCTTATCATTCTACTTTTTTACAAACCTTTCCAAGCAGCTTTGTGTGTGAAATTCCAGTTTTCATAATTTTAAATTATATACAGCTAAAGCCAACATTTTAAATATTAGGACAGATCTTACTCATTATCAGTAAGGAGACGAATATTTCACAGGAAAAACCACTCTCACCTCGTACAAGGGAGTTTCAAAAGGTCTGTGGGAAAATGGACTTAAAAGGTGATGGAATTGTTTCTATGCACTTTGTGAACCCCCTGGTATTATATGCTGCTTAATAGTACTTTATAATATATTCTTTGTTACGGGTAGAGGTGAGTTTTTTGTGTTTCTGTTTTTACCAAATGGTCAAGCCCATTCCAAGCTAACATACAAAACCGAACACACTGCCAGTGGAGGATGGAGTCCATTCCAGTTCACTGGCCTCCTACAGAACAGAAAGGACCTGCCCCTGTGGGTTTCTGAGAGTGTACATCTGTTTTTTAAAGCGTTGCATTGGCATACATTTCACATATCATACACTTCAGTAGTTTTGATCCTATTTCAGAGTTGTACAATGATCTCCACGATCCATTTTAGAATATTGACTTCTTCCTTGTACTCATGGTCCTTCGCTCCCCACCTCTCCCCGCCTCCTTTATGAGAACTGACAGCTTCCTCTCTCTGCCCTGGAAGTGAGCACAGTGCATGATCCCCTTCGCCCCCTCCAAACAAACAAACAAACACCCCAACTCACTCATCGTCACTGGAGCTCTTTATTCCAAAAGCTAGAATTGTAACATTTTAATTGTTGACTCCTTTTTATAAATACAAAAAGGAGGCAGTGTTTTTTCAGTTGTGCAGTGAGGGTTGCTTTCATTTGAAATCACAGTAACTCAATTCGCCTTCATCCAAACTTGACTTGAAGGAAAATGCGAACTCATAACTCTTTCCCCACCTTTTTCCTCTGTCTGTGGGGCATCTCCTCTTTGTAGTAGCTGAACAGCAAACGTGTCGAGTTTCCCTAACGTAGTGTGTTATTTACAAAGGACACATTGTATATTTTTAATTGTTTTACATTTTCACTTCGAAAATCAGCCATCTACATCTTCAAATGTTTTCCCTTAAGTTTGAAACCCAAAGTTTCCCCCCCAAAATGGGTAGAGAAACGTTTCTCCATATTTGGTGTGGAGTTGTTGTGACCGGTACCTGCACTTCTCGAACTAGAGAGTACAGCCAGAAGCCAAGAGTGTGTGTGAGAGAGTGTGTTCTAGGGTCACGAGGAGAGTTTCCTGCTGAACTAATGATCTTTCTCCCATTTTTCATTTTTTTTGTCAGTTCTTCCTGGGAAATCAGGTATAAACCAGTTGAATGTGTTCTCAAGTTCCCAATTATTATTATTTTAAACTTTTTAATTCATCCTCATTAAAGCTTCTCATGGCCAGTCTTCCCCATGCTACCCCGAGCTACCTCATTGTTGGTTGGCGTGGTGTTTCTGTCAGCGCTCTAAGGGTCCTTGATGGAGGGCCCTTTTTTGCCTTGTGTCTCAAATGAGGAGATTACTTTTAAGCGAACCAGATAATGAGCTGTAGCTTGTCGGGCGATGGCCTTACAAATGCAGTGTCCAGTTCCAGTGTTTATTAGTACCATTAGCATAGAATACTTTATGCAAGTGTTCATCAGAATACACATTTGGGCTCTTCACCTGTCTCTGAGTAGCTGCCTTGGTTCTTACTATTGAGGGAATGGTTGGTAGAGAAGGACCGGGGGGCAGATGGCCCAGGAAAGCAGAGCAGTGAACGATCCTCCCGAGAACTCAGCCGTGAAGCAGCTGCCACCTGTTGGTTCTAAATCACAGGTTTATTCTACCCCAGCCCTTTGCTTCTTTCAGTAGAAATTGTAACTCTTCAAGGATGCTCTTCTGTTTGAGGAAAATGATCTCTAGTAGCTCATGAAGTCCGAAAGTCACATTTATACCACCTGGACACCGCACATTCGAGGGCAGTGTAAATTGTCCCTGGGGAAGCACCGCGGCCAGACTTTTCAAAGGAAAGAAGAGAGAACCGAGCCTTGATTCAAACACGCCCGTGAAAGAGGAGGGTTGTTTCCTGTTTGCTTTAAGAAAGACCCAGTTGCTGCTGAGCACGGTCATCTGGGACATGACTCTACCTGTCTGTTTCAAAGCCATTTTAAAGGCCAAGCTTCACATTATTCTCATTCTTTGTTGCAAGGAAGTAGTTTTTTAAACAAATATTCAGTTACTTTGAATAGATATTTAAAACTTCATTAGTATATTCACTGCCATTGAATCAGTTCAATTCTGACTCATGGTGACCCGATAGGACACTGTAAAACTGCCCCCACAGGTTTCCAAGACTGTAACTTTTAGTGGGAATAGAAAGCTTCTTCTTTTTCCCAGGGAGAAGTTGGTGGTTTCAAACTATCAACCTTGTGGTTATTAGCCCAATGTTTAACCCACTATGCCACCAGGGGTCCAGTTCAGTATAATGCTTCAAGCGATTACTTTTCCATTATTGTTACTTTCCGAGTCAGCAATTGGAATGGCATCTTTTATTTCTGAAGGCGGAAGAGTCACCTCAGATAACGCTATCCACTTAAAGCACAGGAAAAAATATTAGTCTTTTAGAGAATGCCTTCCCAAAGCATAATTCAAAACATCCCTCTTTATTACAATTGAAATTGTATCTCATGAAAATATTTATATCTGCAAAACTTTTATTTTGAATGTAATCTAGGACCAACATTATCTGGTTCCTTAAGGGTAATTTTCTTTAACAACCCCCCTTTCCCTTTGCTTATTAGCAGCACCAAATTTTCTCTAACAAAATCAGTAGAGATTTTGAGTTACACATTTTAATTTACATTTTTCAGGTACACGTTTAGTCCTGGGAAAGTTTAAGCCTGAGGTTTAAAGCTGGACTTAGAAACGGCAACTAGGAATGGCTTCAAGTAAAACTCCTGAGTTCCCGCCGGAGCATTGTGGGTGCTTCAGGCCCTCCCATCTGAGTTGTAGGGCCACAGATGGGATTTGGTGGATTTCGTTTCAGGGCTCCCTTACTTAAAGTTGTCTGTGTACCCATTCTGAGCTCAGACAAATAACTAAGACACAATCGTATCTTAATTACCCTAAGCAAGAAGCTGTTATGTTTCATTTTTAATGTTCGTTTTGCTTTAGTATTTGCTGCGGGTTGGCAGCCATGAAATTCAGCATGGTGGTTTTTAGGAGTTGGACATTCACCTATTAGAAATGATTTGAAAGTATAAAATCATTTCTCGTGGGCTTTCAAAACAGATCAACTTTATGGAGAGTACCCGTAGTCTTCAAAATTGTTTTCAGGGCGTTGAGGGCCTGTAGCAAATTCAGGCGATAGGAAATCCACTGGTTGCTTGTTAGCGCTCTGAGAGAAGCCCTTTCAGATTTGAAAGCTACATTACTCATAGTGTGTCAGTACCTGTTCTAACATGAACCTAATCTAGAGTGACATGTTAATCCAGCCTTTAACAAATTGGTTTACCAGATATCAGGGATGCAGAAATTATAGTGGACTGTGAAATTTTTGTTGGTCACATTCATTGACCCCTTTAGATTCTCCCTAAGCCAAATTTCTTTAGAAGAAACAAAATGAATTTGTGAAGATTTCTGCCACAAATGCCAGTGGGCAGCAATTACGATGGGATAGTAAAGAGGAATCAATTTATGATATTTCCTTCGGAATGATCATATTTTTGTATGATTCCCTCAGCAAGTAGGCCAGCGCTTATTTTCATGGCTGCATTAACTTCTGAAGTATTTTTCAGTTACTGCCTTACTAATATGTTTGCATCGTAAGAGAGAGTTTTTTTTTTTTTAGTCCAGAGCTTCCGTATTATACTTGATAACCTTTATCTTTTTGCTACATGGTTTCCTTTGGGCCAAATTAGCATGCCAGCAGCCTAACGCGAATCATTGCAAACCCCCTTTTCTTAGATTTTACTAATTGCTGTGAACTAAGCAAGAGATTAAAACTGATTGCTTACGCGATTGCAGATTGCTCATCGCCTTGTCAATAAGCGTTGTTACTGACCATTCGAGGGTCTTTCTACCTTTGTCTGCAGTTTGGGGACTCCCAGCAACTGCGGCTCGTGCGGATCCTGCGGAGCACAGTGATGGTTCGTGTTGGAGGTGGATGGATGGCACTGGATGAGTTTTTAGTGAAAAATGATCCTTGCAGGGGTAAGGCGATGCTTATGTCAAGATAATCACACTGGTAACAAATCTTTCCAGCACACTATCAATTCTTTTCCAACATCAAAAACATCCTTGGTATAATTTGGGTCATTTGCTCCAAATAGTTTCACACTGATCTGTGAGCCTAAAGTACGAAAGTCATTGTTTGTTTCCTTCTCTAGATAAAGAGGGGCAGGTAGAGGATACATTCTAGAATAGGATTTCTTTTTGAAACCCCCTCCCACGTTTCTGATTTTTCTCATTATGTAGCAAAAGAAGGAGGAAAATTGAGGTGCTGAATTCTGAAGATACTGTTTAGCAAGTGTTTAAAACTGAAAGTTTTTTTTTAATGAAATGAGCTGAGGCAAGCAGTAATTTTAAAAGTAACAAATAATAACAATGTCAGTTTGGCGTGTGACTTGAAATTGCAGATTGGACAATTAGACACAGCTATAACACACTTGATATTGACTAACTCAAGGTCCCTAGGTGGGCTCATGAATCTTCCTTATTTTCCAGCTCCTACGGTGAACTTGTGGGGCCTGAATCAACTGACAGTAGCCAGCCCGTTACAATTTCTACTAGGCTCCATTTACTAAGTAGGCCCATTTTTCTTACTCTAAAGAGTAAATAAAAATTTAGAATAAAGATTTTTCTTTAGCCATAGCGCTCCTTTTAAACCGTAGAAACAGAGATCGCGACAGACCTTAGCACCCAGCAGGCTGCACAGCGAGAGGCAAAGCCTCCCCCAGTGGGGCTCACAGGGTTTTGTGCGGCCACCCAAGTACAGAGGTGCCTCTGTATGGTCAACAGGCTTTTCTGCTGAGACGATGTGGGTTGCTCTAAAACCATATGCAGTAACCCCGCTCTCTGCGAGTCCAAGGTAGACTGAGAGAGAAGTTAAAATCAGAACAAACCCTCCCGTTTTGTTGTACGGTTTGAAAATGCTGCAGCCTGGGGTATTGAAGCTCACTGATGAACAGAGGCTGTTGGAGTGTGTATCGTGTGTGTTCTGTTGGGTTGCTTAGGAAAGTTACCTGCTGGGGCAGTAACTGGGCAGATAACTCTCCTTTACCGAGTCAAACTTCTGAGTGCTTTCTTTCCTGACGCAACATGCTTCTGAAATGTGTGCTAAAGACCCTGCCCCTACACCGGTGGCACAGTCAACGACGGGACTTTGTTTCTTCTCCTGCTGGCAGTATTCTTTAATGTGATTGGTCTCCTGTGTCATTTTTTCCTAGTTCATCATCATGGGAGTAAAATGTTACGTTCGGAATCAAACTCTTCAATTACTACTACTCAGCCTCCTATAGGTTGGCAACCCCTCGCTTTGCCTCTCCCCACCTGTCCTCTCTCTTTCCTCCTTTTACAGTCTTGCTTTATCCGTTTTGTTTTAAAATAACACGCTTCACCCATTGCACATGGCTTAACTCATATCCAACTGGGCTGGTGCTTCCAAATTTGAATTCTGAAAATCTGGCACACCTCCGGTGTGTTGCAATGTCATGGAAGTCATCAAACACATGCTAACACAGTTGCTTACCTGGGTCCTGTGGAGTGGTCTCCGTGTGCCTATGTGTTTGTATGAGTGCTGCATCACCGATTGACCTCACGGATCCCTGGGTCTGGTGTTTGTCATTGCATGTTGGTAAAAAACAAACAAAAAAACAGAGCTTTCAAAGGCATAAAACCAAAACACTCTCTGCTCCATTGAAGCGACCAATCTGGAAGTTTCTTACATGTTGTCCTCATGATTAACAAGCCATCCCTCACTTTGTGTGATTTTTATCGCTTCGTTAAGCCCGATGTTAAAATACTGGCATTCTCCTTCGCACATGCAAACGACACAGTCCCAGCCTTGCCGGCTTGTCTTCTCGTGTGGTGAAAGGGTAAAGACACCGTGTGGGCATCAGTCCCGGGCAGGTTGACAATATTTTAGCATGGGCTTTCCATCATCGTGCTGAACCTTTCTTTAGTAGTGGTTATTCTTGCTGGTGTCTAGTGTTAGAATAAGCACACTTTGGTTTGTTTATTTATTTTCTCTGGGGCTCACTTGCCCCGAAAGGAATGCATTGAGCTTTTCGTGATGCAGAGTTGGAGTTGGCATGGCAAAAAGACGCTCTCGAAATCCTCCACGGGATCTCTGGTGCCAGGCGGCCGTTCTTCTCACACGCGACTGAGTGCCTGTTTCTTTTTTGCCTTGTTCTCTGTTTGTGTGCATTTTGGCCTGCGTCGTCCAGCTAAAGGCAGGACCAACATGGAACTGCGTGAGAAGTTCATCCTAGCAGATGGGGCCAGCCAGGGCATGGCCGCTTTCCGACCCAGGGGCCGCAGGTCCCGGCCTTCATCGAGAGGAGCTTCGCCCAACCGATCCACTTCTATGTCCAGTCACGCCGCTCAGGCGGCCTCCCCACAGGTCCCTGCCACCAACACGCCCAAGGTAAGGGGATCTGTCTGTCCTCCTAGCCTATCAGTGTCTGTGTTAGTCTGGGTAGACTAGAGCAACCAATATATAGAAACTCATATGTGTATAAGAGAGAGTTTTATATAAGGGGTAATAATTGCACGTTAAGAAAGCATCCCAACCCTGTCCAGTCCAAGCCCATAAGTCCGATATTAGCCCATATATCTGATACCTATCTATAAAGTCCTCTTCAGACTTACGAAACACATGCAATGATGCCGAATGCAGGACGATCACAGGCCAGTGGGTAGAAAGTCTTTGGATCCGGTGGTGGTGTAAGCATCTCAGCACTGGCAGGGGTGTCCACGTGGCTTCTCCACTTCCCAGGACACTGGGTCTATCAGCGTAGTGCCATGTGTCTTGTCCTCAGGGATGTCTCGCAGGAAGTGAGCAGAGAGAAGTCTGTCTCCCGCCTCTAAGAAGCAACTTTAGGAATTCCCAGAATTCTCAGAAGACCATTCCCACACAGAGGGCTCATTGGCTATGATCTGAGTGACAGACTAGACTCCACCCCTTCACTCCAAATCCTTTCAAGTCCCAAATTGACACTAGATTATGTAACTACCACATTGTCTCCAAAACACCTTTGAGCTATTTAGACCCTCTCGAATTAATTGCCTTTCCCCAATTGGTGTCCCTTCTCATAACGTGGGATGTGATGACACTGTATCTCTCTGTCATTTCCCACACTGTGGCAAGGGCCACAAATGAAGAAGCTAATTCTACAGCCATGTCTACCTTCTCTATATGGACCACATGACAAAAAGCATATTTGTGTGTGTGTGTGTGAGTGTTAGTTTTAAAAACTATATGCGTAAAAAAAAAAAAACAACTATATGCGTTTGTCTTTTGGACCATATAAAGATTGCCTATTTAAGGACTTTGGTTGCCATACATATTTATCATTTATTTATTTATTTAATTTTTAGAGCTTCACTCTTTTTTTTTTTTTTGGCATGTGATTTGCCATTGACCCTTTCTGCATATTTGTAATGATATCCATTCTTACTGTGAAATGTGACTCTTTGCTATGCAGACATTTTTCTGTGGCCCCGTTTTTTTCACCGGTTCTCCTTTATACTTGATTTGCCGTTGTTCCATACAGATTCTCCATCCTTTAACACGCAATTATGGTAAACCATGGTTGACAAACAGCAAAATGTCAACTCCCTGTAAGCCGGCAGAGTGCCCCGACTTCCCCGTGTCATCTCCAGAGGTATCGTAAGGCCCAGATCCTAGTCTAACAGCGTCTTTCACGGAAACAGTCACCACTAACCCTCCGCCACCGCTCCCGCCATAGACGTGCTTCCTGACACCCTTCCTTTGGTAGACAGACCTCTGTGCACTGAGTCCCGACCGAGCGTCCTTGGAGGCTGTCAGCGGAGGGCAGGGTACAGCTCCTTGAACAGTGTTGGCTAACAGACTCACAACTGCAGGCTCTGTGCTGTCTCTGCTCGCTTCTTACTCACCTTTCACTCTGCTCTGCTCTCACGAGAGTGAAGTAGAAATTATATCCAGGCAGAAGTAAAGTGTCTTATAAGGCAGATGATATGTTTTTTGCTAGGAGACACAATCTGGCTTTGGGCAAGAGTAAGAGGCAGTGTCATTTGCAAGACAATTGCCTAAATCAGCTGGGCTCAACCTTGGGACACGACCCCTTGGGGGGTCGAATGATCCTTTCACAGGGGTCACCTGATTCATAACAGTAGCCAAATTACAATTTTGAAGTAGCAATGAAAATAATTATGGTTGGGGGTCACCACCACATGAGGAACTGTGTTAGAGGGTCACGGCATTAGGAAGTTGAGGACCACTGGCCTGAATGGAAAGGCTGTTTATTGAGTGGTCCCTGTAGGTGACTCTGACATAAGCTCTCAGGTTATCAGTGTGGGTTCCGGGGATGCTGGGACTTAGCTAATCACTGCAATGTTATTAGGCGTTACTATTCTTATTACTTAAACAAGCATTCACTGCTTAATATATGTGGAAATTTAGGCTCAAAGATATTTAGATGGCATAAATATTGGCAAGATTGACGTATCAGATAATTTACCTTGAATCTTAAACAATTCTATTTGTTTTAAGAAACATTGGTAAGCATACATATCAAATGAGCTTATATTTGATTAGAATCACAATATTTAGGGGAAAAGACTATAGTTTATAGCATATACCTAACAAAACTCACTACCATAAAGTCTGTCTCATAGCAACACTTTTTATAAGGTCTCCAAGGCTATAAATCTTTACAGGATCAGACAGCCTCATCTTTCTCCCATGGAGTAGCTGGTGGGTGTGAACCACCAACCTCACAGTTAGTTAGAAACCTAATGGTTACCTGACAGCATCACCAGAGCTATCTTTCAAGTATCTTTTTTTTTTTTTTCCAGAGCCCATTCGCTGTCTGCACCTTGTAGTCCCTAGCGTCCCTCTGTAGGGGTGGAGTAGTTATCCTCTGACAACTTTTCAGTGGCCCCTACTCCTTTGGAAGTGCCATTGCTGATCACATTGAATGCAGGACTCTCTATCTCTGTAATAACCACTGACAGTCTGAAAATCACTAATGTACTCAAAATTGAACGTGCCTCCCTTTTCCTTGCCATCAGTCTCATACTGTGTGTGTGTGTGTGTGTGTGTGTGTGTGCGCGCGCGCGTCTCTTCTCTTTCATTATAAACTCATTTTCTTTTGAAAGCTCTCGTTGAATTCAGATCAGGAAATTAGGGAAGAAAAGCAAGTAAGAAGCAGCCCATGCCTCATTTAATGGAAAACTGTTCCTGTCTTCCCTCCTCCCTCCCCAAGAGGGCTAGTAGAAGGTTCCCCTGTTTGTCACGCGGAGTCCATGCAATGGGAGCAGCCCCTTGAGCTTTCTTCTCGCTGATTAAATGCAGGGAACACCCATACAAGGAAGCAAGCTCCGTCTTCCAGGATATTTGTCCGGGAAAGGCTTTCACTCCGGGGATGACAGTGGCTTGATCACAACGGCAGCTTCCAGAGTCCGGACACAGTTTGCCGGTGAGTGGGGTACATTTCTTTCACTAGCGGCTTTTGCAGTATCATCATATAAAGATGAAAGTCCCGTTTATGCCTAACCAGGGGAAACATTACTAATGGTCAGTAGTGCATTTTCTTTTTTTAAGGGCCTAATAAAGCCCTAAATACTCTCACTGCCTGCGAGTCAGTGCTGGCTCATAATGACCTTGTAGATCTGCCCCTGTGAGTTTCAGACACTTAATTCTTCACAGGAGTAGGAAGCCCTGTCTTACTCCCATGGAATGGCTGGTGGTTTTGAACTACAGACCTTGAGGTTAGCAGCCCAGTGCACACTCTGTCACCAGAACTCCTATGGAGCCCTTGTCCTCTAAAACATAGAAAAGAGACTCACCACCATTGGGTCATTCCTGACACATAGGGACCCTGTGTAGGGTTTCAGAGGCTGAAACGTTACAGGAACAGACCCGCAGGTACAAGTCCAGTACATACAGGTCATGGACGTCAATCACTAGAGAGATGAAAGAGAGACAAATTGGAAACAAATCAACAGTGCTCTAGCCATACATGCTGGGAGGTCTTGGCTCTTCTACCCGCCTGGAGACTATACTGGGCTTTACTTTGAGTAGTTGGGAAAACCTAGACTTACTGGGAGCTATACCAGCACTTCTTGAATTTCATCACAGGCTAGTGAACCTCTGAAGTGTCAAGTCTTGGATAGTTGTATGTGCTTTGGTTTACATATCATTGGCTGAACTCCCACTGAAATTTAGATCCACATTTATACTGCATGTATCCCGAGGTACACTTGTCAACCTATGATAAGCCTGCCCTTAAACGATGGATATATTCCTTGTGTCTGTCTGCAGTAAATGGAATCCTATCGTAAGTGGAGTAGGCCCAGATCTACCTTTTTTTTGTAAATGTAGCTTTTTACATACTGTGTTGACTGAGAGTGGGACGGCCTCCATCTGGGGAGCGGGGACAAGCCAGAGCAGGGAAGGAAGGGGTTCTGTGTGGTCTCCAGGTAAGGTCCTCCTCCCGTGAAGCCACAGGGACTTTCTAAGTGCCGCCTGGATATTCAGAAAAGTCAATGAGGTGGAAGGGGACATCCAGTCTCAAGGATCAGTTACACAGAGACCCAGTAATGAGGGTCGACTCATCCTTGCCCTCTCTCTTCAGATTCCAGGAAGACCCCCAGCAGACCGGGGAGCCGAGCTGGCAGCAAAGCGGGCAGTAGGGCCAGCAGCCGCCGAGGCAGTGATGCATCAGACTTTGACATTTCAGAGATCCAGTCCGTGTGCTCAGACGTGGAGACTGTCCCGCAGACACACAGGCCTACGCCCCGAGCAGGTTCTCGGCCATCCACAGCCAAGCCTTCCAAAATCCCCACCCCCCAGAGGAAATCGCCTGCCAGCAAATTGGACAAGTCCTCAAAAAGATAGTGCAATTGGTTCCACGAAGGCCCTTCTCCTTGAGCATTTATTTAAGTTTGAAAGATGTAAAATATGTAGAAATTATTGTGAAATATTGCAAGAGGTGAGCTTAAAATACTGCAGATGGCCTTATTTGTGTATTTGTCCTGTTCTTTTATCTGTGTGATTTCTGTTTGTTTTGTAAACTGTTCTGGGTCAGAGTCGTGTGAGGAGGAAGAAAGTTTGACATGAACTAACATTTCTGCATGGCAGTGTGTGGGGCACACGCTAAAATCAGTTATGTACGTCCAGGTGAGTCTGCTTCCCTCTGTCAGCCTCGTCGCGGCACGAGTAGCTCGCGTGTGAGAGATACCTCATGACATTTTCTTATTTTTATGAAAACTCTGAAAAGCCAAAACACATACAAGCAGGGATCTATTTTGAGACTATTTAAATGCAAACTGAAAGATGGGGAGGGCAGAAAGACAGACACATCCACACAAAGTTTCAGAAACAGTACCTGCCTTGAGAACTCCCAGGAAGTTAGCATTAAGTTAAGACTTGCCGTAGTCAGTTACCGTGCAGCGTGTCTGTGCCATTGCTTTCCGTAAGACCAGAGGCATCCTGGAGATTAGACCCATTATACTGTAAGAATATAATGATAAAGTGCATTCATATAAATGTTGAGGTTTTCTTTTGCTTGAGTGGAGGCTAGCACCTGTATCATTGAAATCATTTTGTATCAAAGCAGTTTTGCTTGCAGAAAGCTATGAAATAAAACATGTCCTTAACTACATTGCTATGGAATTAATTTTTTCCCCCTAGGGAAAAATCAGTGTATTTTTTTATGAGCAACATCACTTTGGAGAGACCAAAAGATACTTTAAATGGGTTTATTTTGATTTCTCATCTGAAATAATCATGTTCTGGTAATATATCTATATTTAATAAATATATATACATTTTAATTTATTATGTATACTCACATAATATAGAAAGATATTAGTATGCATTTAATAAAACATATTCACTTGATGAACATATGGATACCTGGTTATTTAAAGTTAACTTTTCTTTGTTGTCTGTTTTAGGGATAGGTTACATGTATGGTATACTTTTACTAATAGTGCGACAGGCTGAATTTGGAGCACATCAGAACCAGGGAGTTACCGAAACGGTGACGCTCTGGTGTCATAGTGCTTGAGCACTCGGCTGCTGACTCAGTGATGTGACAGTCTGCTCTGTCAAGGCCAAAGCCCAAGAGCTCCTTTGGGGCGTTACCTGTCCTGTACTACAGGGTCGCTGGGAGTTGGAAGGCATTCACCATATATATTCATCAAACATACTTAGAAGAGATGGAAAATTGTTACTCTGCGTATGGCTGGGCCTACTGTGCATCACTTTGCAAATGTGTTTTAGCAAATGGCTGTGGTGATGTTCCAAGTGACGGGACAAAATGATGTTTTTCCTGGTTGGCCTTTTTGAGAGAGGCTGTGTTAGTCTGGGTAGACTAGAGAAACAAATCCATAGACATCTATATATGTATAAGAAAGAACTTTGTATGAAGAGTAATTCTACATTAAGAAAACATCCCAGTCCAGATCAAGTCCGTAACCCTGATATTAGCCCATATGTCTGATACCAATCTATAAATTCCTCTTCAAACTCACACAAAACATGCAATGACTCCGAATGTAGGAAGATTACAGGCCAGTGAGTGGAAAGTCTTGTGGATCCAGTGGTGGTATAAGCATCTCATCACTAGCATGGGTCTCCACATGGCTCCTCCAGCTCCAGGGCTCTGGCCCCATCAGCATAGCTTCATGTGGCTTGTCAGCAGGAATATCTCACAGAGAGATAAGAGAGAAGAGTCTGTGTGTATATGGCCTCCGGTGAGCTATTTATCTCCATCCCGCCTCTAAATGAGGTCATCAAGCTGCGACCTGATTGACAGGCTAGACTCCCCCCCCTTCACAAGTTGACAGAGGCTACCACAGAGGCCGATAACTGAAGAGCCTGTAGTTTCCACTGACATAAATTAGATACTGTTTTTAAGCAATAGAAATGCCTTCTTTTCCAGGCATGGACCTCAGGTGAGAGAGCCCTTTATGGAACAGGTAACCCTAACCTATGAGAGCGAATGCTCTCAATGACATGGGTCATCTGAGAAGGCACCGGAAGTTGTTTGATCTGCTTAGTACAGTATTTTGCATATGATCACATTTCTACTGCAAAGACCAATTGAGGGAATGATTTTTATCTCACTGATGCGGCAGAAACGCCTCTTCCTAATCCCACGGCCTTTTCTCTTTTTTTTTCTCATCTTTCCTCTTTCAACAATAGTACAATGGAATGAATCTCAGCTTTAGACAGCTTAATGTAAACACCGGTTCCTAAGGATTAGAGAAATTTAATCACAGAATAGACTTCTTTATCTTAAAAATCCAAATGATTAGTTGTCATGCCCTGATATTTCTGAGATGATGGAGTGAGTGCCTATGTTGGTTCTGAGCACGGGGAGTGAGGGTGCTCCCCTTTCCTGAATCGGGCCAGAAGGAAAGGAAAAGGTGACTGAGAACGGACCTTTGGTGGTAGTTTAAACCTGGCTGTGCAAGTTTTAAATTTTGTGATATATCTAAAATGTCAATGCATGGAAATGGTGATGGGTTTCAGATATATAATACTTTTTGAGCAAGTACTTGACTTGGATATACTTGTCGAAGTGAATGTTCTAATGCCACCAGTCAGTACATTTGGAAGTGCCCACACGACACTACTAGCAGGCAGTCAGCTGAAGCTTGGCGTGCACAAGGAGGGTAAGGACCCGCACCGCTTTGTGCAGCAGCCTGGGGCACGTTCGAAAGGCACCCGGTCTGCTGGGAGGGGAGTAGAAGCAAGGCCAAGGTGTCTGTACCGGAAATCAGCTGTATGACTACCTAGAATGTCGGGCTGAACCTGGCGATCTGCAACTTCGTGGTTCAAATCCCCTCTACGGAGATAAGGACTATGTAGTTCGGGTGAAGAACAAAAATGGGAAGCTTCCTCCTCACTCCTGCTTCCAGTGTGCTAAATTAAGAATATATCGGTGCAGAATGTGTCCATGGAAGTCCCAGTTTAGTGTGCCCATGCTTTTATTGCAATCCGTTAAGGGAGATTATAAACGGGAAAATAGGAGACGGTAATAAAATACGAGATTATGATATTTAGAAAGTTATCCCCAAACAAAAGCAAAGTGTTCTTTCAGGACATGATTAATCTTAACTGTACAGCTACAATAGCCATAGAGCAAAGATTACAAAATTTAGTTTCCATCGTGTTAGAATTTAATTTCAGCATCAGTGATTCCCAAGTTTTTCATTGAGTATTACCAGCATTAACTATTCTGTAAGCAAACATGCTTAGCGAATGCACATCGGCTTTTGTTAACATGTGATTTTAGGTGCTTTTATTGTTAATTTCCTAAGACTAATATTCTCTTAGAGTGAGTCTGACCTTTGACTGTGTGTGTGTGTGTGTGTGTGTGTATCCGCATTTTATAGATTCTCGGTAATTTTTGTGGCCAAATTATTGTCAAGCTAGGTGAGCCCCTCCCTGGTTTCACTCCTGACGGGACTGATGAGACCCCCTTTTCTCTCAGTGTGTCTCCGCCATGTCCTCATTGACTTCATCTTGCATTATACTGAAATTTAATTGAACTCATTATTCTTATAGACCATACCTTTGGTGGTCTACCTAAAAAGCCATCCCCAAACGTCAGGTTCCCTCGGTCCCCTCTGATTTGATCTCCTCGAGGTTGAACTTCACCTTTAAGCCTGTGCGGTCCATTCTGAGTCTGATTTTGCTCCCTGTCTCTTGGGTACTGATTGTGCCAAGGCAAACTCCTGTGTGAGACTGGTTATATGTGGCGATAGCCCTGAGTAACTCTTCTGGTGGAGGTGGAGATACTGCTACTTGGTTAGTTAATAATGGCCAAATACCATTTATTTTATCTCTGACACACACACACACACACCGCAAAATAATCTTTTGGAAGGGACCAGGGAAGGGGGCCACACATCAGCATTCCCCAAACCACAGTTCTAGTTTTGGTTCTTGGTCCTTCGCACTTGTCCCTCTACAATAACCGTCTGTTAGCCCCTCCCGTCTGTGCACGTGACCGTGAGCCCTCTGAAGCAGTGGCGTGGGGGCCACATCCGACTTCCTCCAGGGGAAGGAGAGTCCAAGTCCACTTCTGCCCAGGAACGATGCCTCATGGGGCCGAGGTCAGACATGTCTCCTCTCCAGCATCCTTTATTCTGACATCAACCATCCTTCTTCTATGTTGGGTTCCACAATCCATTTCAATGGTCACACAGAGCTCACAGGCAATACTGACAATAGAGTGGGAAATGTAACTGTTACAAGTCCCAAATGTACATCCCCAAAGTATAAAGATCATCCATGAAAAAATAGGAACAAATAAGAAGACCCCTTTACAGAGCAGAGACACTCTCGAACATAAAGAAGGAAGCACACACAATAGAAGCAAAAGAGATGAGTGGGACGTACACATCAAAGGAATGAAAGGAGGAGCCATGAACAGCACATTATATTTGGCAATAACACAAAAGACAAGGGATTAATATCAAAAATATATAGACAGCTAAAATAACTCAATAAGAAAAAAGTGAGTAACCCAATTAAAAAGTGAGCAAATGGGTATGAGCAGACAGTGCACCACAATCACATCTTACTGGCCAACAAACCTATTTTTTTGTAAAGCTCAAGATCATTAACCATCTGGAGAAATGCAATTCAGAACACCAATGAGGTATCACCCTATACCATCAAAGAGAGCCCTATTCCAGAAGAAAGAAAACAGAACCACCAATGCTGGCAAGCAAGTGGAGAGACTGGAACACGCATACACTGAAGTGCTCCCTCGAAGAACGGGGAATAGAGGTCCCTGTGATCCAGAACTACCTCAGCTGAGACTAGAAGTAAAGGATAAAGCATAAACAGACATATGTACTCCCATGTTCATCACAGCACTGTTCTCAATGCAAGAAGTTGGGAGCATCCCAAATGCCTTTCCGTAGAAGAGGGAGGAAGAAACTTAGATATACACACACAATGGAACACTGTGCGTTACTAAAACCCAATGATGAACCCACAAAACCCCTGGGGACATGGATGGACCCGGAGAACATTATGCTGAGTGAAGTTAGTCAATTGAAAAATGGTAAGTATGAATCCAGAATGACAAGAATAAAAACCAAGATGAAGACTTGCATGCCATACAAACCAACTGTAAAGGTTACCAATCGGGGAAAGAGCAGGCGAGGGAAAAGGAAGCAACGGACTGGAGGGCTGACGGGCGCTGACCCGAGGGCAAGGGAAGATGGAGACAGAAGGCAGAGGGTAAAGCAGAGGGGGTGGAGTAAGACACAGGTGGGGCAAGGTGATGAGTGGGTTAAATTGTTGAATACAGAGTTGATGCTTTTAAATGGAAGCCTCTCACCCATGCATTCACAATAAAAAGAGAAAAAAGTGGGGACAAAGATTTATACAACCACATTAAAAATAAAAAAACAACTGTTGGTCTCTCCCTACCTGGTGGAAAGAAGACTGAAGAAATGGATAGATCACATGAACCATGGTCTCACTAGCTTGAGACCAGAAAAACGAGGTGAGGCCTGGCTACCACTACTAAGTGCTCTACGTAGAACCACAATAGAAGGTCCTGGCAGGAGGGAGAAAATATCTAGAATAAAATTCAAAATAAAAAAAAAAGATGAGACTTACAGGTCTGGTAAAGACTGATGGAACCTCTGAGACTATGACCTTCAGGCACCCTTCAAATCTGGAGATCGCCTTTCACTCAAACAATGCACAGGCCTATAAAGTGAAGAGGGACACTCATGAGGAAGGTGCTCTTCAGAACAACCAACCATATATGAGACCCACAGGAAGCACTTTCTGAAGACAACATTCAGAAGGAGGCAGGTTCATGAAAGATGGGCAAAGGAAATGGGAATCCAGGGAGAATGTGGGATTGCA